GCATGGCGTTGTTCTTGGCTCTGTGTAGCAACCAGCTATAAGCTTGCATAGTGAGTTCCAAAAATGTGGGGAAATAGTGGATGAATAATTCTAAATTGGTGGTGCCATGGTTAAATCCTTGTTGGAAATTAAGGATCACACAAGCGCTCATTCATTCCCCCCTGATTCCCCTGCCAGTGGGAAGAAGAATGAGGAAAAAAAGGTAAACCTTGCAGGTGTACATAAGAAAAATTTAATCATTGAAACAAAATAACACAACAATAATAATTATAGGCTAGATATAACATATAGAATAGTACCAGTAATGAATATAACATAGTACTAAATATGCTAATAACAGTAATAATAATAATAATAATTGTTAATAAAAATTATAATGGTAAGGAGAGGGAAGGAGTGGCAAAACCTGACAGAAACAAGTAGGTTGGTCAGAATCTGTGAACCTATGCTCATTTTGTCCCCCACCAGTGACTGGGGAGTGCTTTGCTTGGATAAATTGGAAAGTGAGTGTATTTGTAGAGTTGTATTTGCGCTTAAGGTAACCATTCACACAGAGTTTTATGTGCTAAGAACCACTAATAACAATTTCATGTATTATTCCGAAAGTATATTTAAGAGATTTGTTATGTAACTCCATCATTAATAAAAACTAAACTGTGTATATAATCACTGTGCAAAGAGCAAGTCTTTCATTATCCCTTAGTGTTGAGAAGGAGAGGGTTTTTTTTTGTCTTTGAGGTGGAATTGGTTGGCTTTGTTTTGCTTTTTACTTTTTTTCTTTTTTTCATCAAGTTTAATGGGATGCTGGATTCCCCATTACATTTTTATCCTGGTTTTCACCTGCTGTCTTTGACAACTGAGTGTTTGTCCAGTTCACTGATGTTCACATCAAAAGTATTTTTCGTGAAATACGTTTTTGCATCCTATCCCTAGCAGCTAAGAAATCCTCACTAGTCATATATGTAATTGGGAACTGGAGCTCAAATTTTCTAAAGTATTGTCTTCCTGAAGCATTTATTTAGTCCCTAGTGATAGCCTCCTTTGCATTGTAACCTGTTAATTCTTATTCTAAGATTTTTATAAAAATTAACTCTGCATGTCCACGTGGATCAGAAATCTGGTTTAATATTCAGTAAAATTAAAGAACCCCTTCTGTCATTGCATGATAGTTGATGGAAGGTATGAAGACCTACTAGACCTAGTTATTTAAGTCAAGTGGTGGAGGTTTTTCACTCTACCCCTTTCTTTTCCCCATAGTCCTGTGACAGGATCATAGACTAGTTCGTGTTATAAGGGACCTATAAATGTCAGGTAGTCCAACCCTCCCCCCCACCCTTCCCCCAGCCCCTTCCCCTGGCTTTGGGCATGAACATCTTCGACTAGACCAGGTTGTGCAGAGCCTAGCCCAGCCTTACGGGGGACAGGGCATCTGCCACTTCTCTGTTCCAGTGTTTCACCACCCTCATCATAGAATAATTCTTCCTTATCTACTCTGAATCTATGATTTTTTCAATTTAAAACAGTTACTGCTTTTCTGGTTGCTACAGGACCTATTCAAAAGTGTGTCCCCATCCTCCCCTTAAGTACTGAAAGGCCACAGTGAGGTCTCACTGAAGCCTTCTCTTCTTCTCCAGGCTGAATAACACCAACTCTCCCAACCTTTCCTCATAGGAAGAAAGCCCTGCTCAGGGCCTGCTCAAACATGTCGATGTCTTCCTTGTATGAAGGACCCTAGAGCTGGACATAGTACTGAGAGTCTCACGAGAAAGTAGTGGAAGGGGAAAATCACCTCCTTTAACCTTCTGACCATGCATGTTTCTGACTAATGTTCAGCTTTACCCACCAGCACCGCCAACTCCTTTGCAGGGCGGCTCTCAATCTGTTCGTCCCCCAGCCTGGGTTGGTAGGGGGGGTTGCCCCAGCTCAGATGCAGCACTTGGCCTTGAGCTTCATGAGATTCATGTGTGCCCACAGACATGACATGGAGGCTCCATACAGCAGTTCAGGAAGTGGGGGAAAAGCCCCAATAATCATAACAGCAAACAGAAATTAGCTTTCAGTGTTGTGTAACTAACGATGAGAACTGCATTACAAGCACTCTAGAGGTAGGAGCAGAGGAGCAGTTCATGCAGGAAGGGAGAGTAGTCTTCCAGGAGGAGTTGTATCACAATGCACTGTTTTAACAGCTGTTACCAAATAGCTGTTTATAGGGACGCACACAAATTTGCTTGCTCAATAGTTGGAACTCTGTGTCTTGCCACATTCTTGTCATTTGCCACATTCTTATAATTTTGTCCCTTCTGGAAAGTGAACTCTTACTTTTCTAGAGGAAAGTAAGCAAGTTTAGCATATTGTAGAACTGGCAGTGGTATAGGAGTTTAACTTTGTAAATTTGAAAAGCTATTTTGTGTAAAGTTTTTTGAAGAAAATTTGTATTTTTCATATCTCTGCAGGATATGAAAAGCATATAGTTCTTTATTTTTTAAGATTTGTGTAAATGTTTTGCAGTATAAATTCGGCAAAATTGAAATATAAAAATTAAATTTATAGTTTTTTTAACTAAAACTAAATATAAAAAATACATAAACTAAATGTAAAAGTAAATTTCATTTATTGTGACATTTTAATGTCCATGCAGATAAAAGGCACATTAGTTTAAGTCTTTCTTTCTTTTCTTTGATGTCTGACTATAAGAAACGTTGTTTTCCTCAATGGCAGTCTTGCATATGTGTTTATGGGAGGAAGAAAGAGTTCAGATAGGTTACCTGAACCTTATTGACAGTTTAGACTTTTTTTTTTCTATGTAAAGTGTAAGGGAAGTATGATGGTGAAATTATACACAAAATAACAGAGAATGTGCATCTTATTCTTCTGTGTTTTGAAAACAGATCACCTTCTTTGACCATCACTGTAGTGGTATTATCTACATACACTTTTATTTAGTCAAGGAAGTGTTTCATATATCAAGTTACAAAATAAATCTAAAATGCCCTGGTTACTTTGCACTCTGAAGACCTCAATTATGTTGCTGTTGCTTATTTGAAAAGAGCATTTAACATTGCCTTATTCTGGAAAACTGTAACAGTAGTAGTTCTTAAGGGATTTTTTGATTTGGGTCTTAGGCAGCAGAGTGATTTCGATTTTCATTGTTTAAATGTATAATACACAAAACTCGAAGAAAGGTTTTTATTGTCTGTACTTGATAATTTTATCTTTTTAGATCTTAAAATTCTTCAGGCATAAATATCCACAGTGTTATTGCAGCCCATTTTGTTGTAGCTGTAAACTATTGTATATTGTTTAATATTTTGCCAAATTGGAGGTTCAGAGTTGTCTCTGTATTCCTTCAACAGTGTTGCCAGAAACTATTGGTAAATTCAGTTTTCTGGCAAAATAGCGATTCAGTGTTGTACCCTGTTGTGTTGTGTTTTCATGTGTGGGTTTTTTTCCTCACCCACCCACTCCAATTTTCACCTATTGTCCTGACAACCTATGATGGCTTCTTGATTTCTAGAGAGGAAGCTGTGGGATTTTTACAAGTAGTTCAGACCATGCTGTAAGAAAATCTGAGTCAGAAGTGCAGAAGTCACTTCTGTATGTCTTATAATGCACTCAGTAATTTATTCATGTGCTTTTGGAATATGGACAGTATTCATTACTATTGACTGGTCACAGTTGATCAGAAAACATGCTCTGAGAGCTCAATTTTTGACTCTTCTTGGACATAATGGCGCTTTTTTCCCTACTTGAGTGTTAGTTTTTTTTCTCCAGAATAAAGGGAAAAAAGGAAAGTTCACCTAGATGCCTGTACTCCAAATTAATGTAAAATGCCATTGCTAGAGTTTCTACATGACTAATTGTACCTTACATGACCTAGAGTGCTTATACCAAAGGTGTAATAATATACTATTCCAAAGGTATAAAGAGAATCTGGCTATTTTGCACGTGACTTTCTGAGAACCTTCTCAGAGAAAGACCTTCAGAATTTCCTACTGAAACATTAATTGTCTTTTATTGTAATACACACATATAAAGGGTATTTATTGGGAAATTACTAACGACTGTTACTCTTCCAAATGCCACTGAAGCATGAATCGTTGTATGTTATGTTCAGAAAAAAAATGATTGATGTATCTAGCATTTATGTACTCTGAAACTGCAAGCGCTTTTGTAGACTGCCTTATCCCTTGTGTGTATGAACAAATTTGCTTTCTACAAATAAGCCCAAGTTTCCTGTAGGAGGAGGATAGTAGCAGAGAGCACTAGGCAGATACCCTCCAAATAATACCATAAAAATTATTTTTACACACTCATCCACATCATTTAAAAATAATGTTATTTTAAAGTAAATATCAAGTAACTTAAACCATTTAAAAAGATTGTCCTGAAGTGCACCTGATTCTTCTCACCGAGAGAGCAAGGAAGAAAAGAGCTTTGCTATGGACTGTGGTGCATGTCACTGTGTTAATACATCAGCATGAAATGTTCAGAATTCTAGTAGTGTATAAACCAATTAGGGTTTAGCAGCACTGTGTTCTTCTCTTCCATCTGATAGTAGGGATTAATCAAGTTCGGAATACATATATCAATTTACATTTCATCTTCCCATTGTGGGGAGCTGATGAGCATTCTGTGGGATCACTGTCCTTCTAAAAATTTTCTTTCTTTTGTTGGTTGGGAGCGTGTACTTGAATATATATACAAGAATATATGGAAGTACTTGAATGCACTGATGACTTTCAGTAAGCAGAAAATGCAGCAGAAAGTTTGCTTTTTGGAGAATGTAATACTGGTTTTTGTAGCAGTTTGTTGAGAAAACTAGGATACAAAGCTCTGTTCATTTCTTTGATAGCTATTAAATATAAAGGCTTTTAAACTGAACATGTACGCTAAATATGTGGAATTTATTGTTTTTACTATTTGGTAGTATTTTTTTTCAAACCTTTGAAAATTTCTTTACATTGAAGGAAACACAGATAACTTTTTCTTTTCTCCCATAGATCCAAACCTTTAATGTTGAGGCACCATGCCAGACCGTGGAAGATTTAACGAGTGGGGTTGTGATGGCCCAGGTTCTTCAAAAAATGTAAGTAATTGTTTACTTAATGAACTAAATACAGACAGTTTTTATCTGTACATTTTTGTATATTTACATGTGTTTTATCTTGCCTGGTATTCCCTAAGGATGTGACTTAGATAGTACTTTAAAGTGGAACATGACTAATAATTTTTTTCTCTGTAGTTTACAGATAACTATCTTAAATGAAAACCAAAATTATTTTAGACAAGAGTTCATTCAAGTGTGACCTTACTGGAAAGTAACCTGACTTAAAACTAAACTTACAGATTCACACTTAAAATTGAAATCAGTGCAGAGTAATACCTTTAATTAATTGCCCTGATTGTTGTTTGAAACTATAGTCAGTAATGTTAGAAGTAGTTTAATGTATAAAACTTCAATGATAAACTGAATGGAACTGTCAGTTTAGTTGTTTGCAGTTGGAAGTACTTTTTCGTTTGTTTCCACTACCCCTTATCTGTTCACCAGACGCTACTGAGATTACGTGAGGATATAAAGAAGAAGCCATTGGGTTATTTATACACAGGATTGGTAAGATCTTACTGAGCCTTTTCTTCTTGAGGCTAAACAAAAACAGCTCACTCAGTCTCACCTCAGTTGGCAGTCTGTTAATCATCTCAACTGCCCTTTGCTGAACTTCCGTGTATGTCCAGGTGTCTCCCTTACTGGGGAGGCCTGGAGGCAGCAGTTCAGATACGGTTTTAACAGATCTGAGCAGTACCTCCCTTGGCCTGCTGGTAGCAATATTCCCAATACAGCCCAGGTTTTGGTTTGCCTTCTTTGCTGCAAGGACACATTGCTGGAGTGTGTTCCACTTGGTTTCTACCTGGTTTCTTGTCTGCAAAGCTGTTTTCCAGCCAGTGACCCCCGGTGTATATTGGTGAATAGTGTTTGCATTTAACTTTTCTAAAATGTGTAAGGTTCCTCTTAGCCTTTTTTTCCACCTTGCCAAATTTTTCCTAAGTGGCAACGCAACTATCAGGTGTGTCAAGCGCACCTTCCATTTTTGTATTATATGAAAAGTGCCCTCTGTACCATCATCTAGATCCTTACTAAAGACAGTTAATAGTATTGACCCTTGGATATGCTGCTAGTGAACTGGCCTCCAGCTGAATTTCATGCTTCTGAAACCTTTGAGCCTAACATTTCAGCCATTTTTCATTCCCACCTTGCTATCCAGTTACCCCAGCAATGCTTCATCAGTTCTTCTATGAAGGTGTCATTCTGATCAGGCAGTCTATAGCAGGAATCTGTAACGGTGTCACTCATGTTGATTTGCTTAGTCATTCTGACTGGTAATCTCTCAGCTGGCTCATATCTGTCCTCTGGTCTGTCGCAGAAAGGGCATCTTTCTGTCACTGCCTTCTCAGCTTGTTCTTCCTAAGGAGTCTGTATATGCTCATGGCAGCCGCCTTGGCATGTGAGCCATCCTACCACGACTTCATGATCCCAGTGGGTCTGTGACCTTGTAACTACATACAGAACTCTGTTTATTCCTATTTGTTCTCTATGCTGCCTGCATTAGTGCGTAAACACTCCACATATGCATCCTGTCTTTCTGATTCCCAAGAATTAAGCTTTCCCCAGAGTGTTCTTCTTTAGGCCTTTCTATATTTATGTGCATATGCTTGAGGTGATCCCACTTTATTCAGACCTGTTGTGTTGACTATGAGGTGTCTTTTGTTCATATCATTCCTCACCCCTAGTTCTTCAACAGAGTTCACTACTTTGTAACTTAATGTTCATTTTTTTGTATAAAACTGTTCTTAACATCTTGGCCAGCCTGTTCGTGAAGATGTGTCTGCCCACCATAGTCTGGTGGATCCTATCTCTTCCATGCAGTCCTTATTCTGAGAAGGGTTTAATGATTATTGAAATCAAAACTTTGTTGCCAACACTGTATCACAGCAGGTTGTTGACCTGCAGGGTCTGTCTGCTGCTCAAACCTCCTTCTCACTAACTGGGGCAACAGGGGAGAAGACCACCCGAGCCTTGACCATACATTCCAAAGCTGCATAATCACATTTGGCACTTTGCAGGTTTCCCTAGCTGTACAGCTCGTGCCCAGGTGGAAGAGCTGAAGGAATAATCATGTGAGGGCTGGACAAGCTTCAGCAGTCTTTCGACAATGTCCGGAATTCAAACCCCGAGCAAGCAACAGCCCTTCTTGATGTCAGTCAGAAGATGAGGGTCCTCCATCCTGTTCTAGTGTTTATCGCTTCCCTCTTGTGCTGCTGCGTGGCTCAGGTTTACTGAGCGCGGATGATTTGTTTGGCAGAGCTCCTAGGGCTGTAACTGCTATGAGGGCACTGAGTCTGTTCTTTAGCTGAAGATTCTCAGGAGCAGGAGCCTTCCTCCTAGTGAGAGAAGGAACTGCCAGTTCACAGGAAGAAAAAAAAAAAAAAGGAGGAAAGGGAAATCTCAATGTAGTCAAATATTTCAAGGCAAGACTTTTTAGCATGTGGTTCTGAGATACTGTTTTCAGCTGATGAACTGAACTTTAAAAATAATATTACAATACAAATATTGCATTTCTGTAGCATGATTTTAAAATATGTGAAGATCAACTAAACAATTTATAATTCTTCCTTTCTGTCCTATATAATAATTTGAACATGCCAAAATTAGTATTCAACTATCTTACTTTATGGTAGTTGTGCTTCAGATTTAACATTTTGCATACTTATGTAATGAACAGACATATTCTCATGCTGAAATTTAGCAACAGTATTGCTAAATCTTGACTGCATTCCTGCTGAGATAAACCTTGAAGAGCAGCAGCAATCTGATCTTGGATTGTACAACAGGAATTATAACATGAACAACCTTTGAGGGAAAATATTGCTTTTTTGTTTTTCTTTTTAAAACAGAATAAACAGAAGGTAAGTACTATAAGAAGTGTAACAGAAGATTAGTCTAATTGATTTTCAAAGTAGAAACTAAGGATTGTAGAATAGCCAAACATTTTCTCTTTCCCTGGACATGAGAGTGGAATATTGGTCAAATACAGGATCAGCATTTTCTACTCAGGAAACTGATCAGGAGCATGTTGACAAAGACGTTTTAAATATTCTTTCTTGAAAACAAAACCAAATTCAACACTAGCAGTGAAATCCTCTTGTTGGCCCTTTGAACAAAAATAACAGGAAGACTACTTCACTGGGAGATGGGGCATGTTCAACAATGTGAAGCAAGTCTAGAGCAGGCTTTTTTACTTTTCTTTTTATATTAGCAGCTCCCACTAGTATTCCCACTCTGTCCCAAGAAAGACAGTCATGTAGAATACAATTTTTGCAGGAAGGCAGCTACATATATTTACATATACAGCAACAAATACGTTGTTTTGACTGCAGACGCAACTTAAATGCCATTACTCTATTGAGAAGGATAAACTACTATTTTTGTAATTTTTCAAGGAAAAAAATGAAAATTAGGTGTTTCTTAGTATAGTGCTTCCTGTTAAAGGTTCTTTTTGAGTGTGTGTTCTTAGAGCCTAATAACAATGGAAGGTTGATTAGGTAAAGGTAAGGAGGAGAAAGTTCTGGCAACTTTGTGTGAATCAGGATTTTACTATGGTAAATTAATTAATGTTTAAAAATACTAAAGAGCAGATTAATATAACCAGTAAAGAAGAGTATTAATGAAAATTTAAAGGTGTTGGAGTGGTCCAGTGATCTGGATATATTTCCAGATAGGGAAGTGTGGATAGCATTTCTTCCAAAAAACTTAAAGGCTTAGTAGTGAATTCTATTATTTTTATTTTTTTTCCTTACATCTGCCTTCTTAGGGAAAGTTCACTGGTACTTATGAGGATGGGAGATAGTAGGTCATGATGAGGAGCAGTTTTTCAGAGATCCCTAGCTCAGGGAATTAGTTATGTTAGACATGCATAAAATTTGCACGAAACAGAACTGTAGGATTTAGTCAGAAAAAAGGAAGAGAAGAGGAAGAGCATTGCTCGCTCATCAGCTGATAAAAACCAACTTGTACTGTGCACAACAGTGCCTTGTACCAAGGGGACGGGGCTGATGGTTTCTTCTTTAGTTCTTAATTTTTCATACATCATCCTTAATATTTTTTGCACTCACAGTAGCAGCCCATTTGTAGATAAGTGCCAGACATCATAACAAATGCAGCAGACTTTTCTTTAACAAAACTGCTGGAATAAGCTGTGAGAAGAAAAGGTTACAGAGGAAATTACTGACACCTTCAGAAGCTTTTTGCTATTGTTGTAGTGTGTGAGATAGCAAATACCAGAAATATGTTCTATGTAACCAAGAATGAAAATTTTGCTTGCAGTCTCAGTTGTTAAAAAAGGGTATTGGTAAATTCCTGAAGGACGTTTTCTTCCTTTATAGCATTAAAACTTTATCTTTGAATTTCAGCTTAAAATACCACTGCATGTAATTCTCTAGTGCTAACTGTATTATCTTGGTGGAAGAAACTCAGCCTATGTTTTAGTTTAACTTTTTTGTGTTATTTTGTAAGATTTATTGTTTCTTTTCAGATGTGGTGATCCCTCTGACTAGCATTGATATGAAATACAGTAAGAAAAAATTGCCTGTACACTGTTGGTGATTATTTTAAATAGTGTTGTACTACAGGAGTAAAGAATGGAAGCAAAAAAAAAACGTTTCATTTTGTATGAGTAGGCTGTTGGCCTGAAATTGTGTAGCTTGTGCTGGTACGAGTGCTGTAGCTTGCTTCTGAATCACATCCTTATGTTTTCACTGTCCACTGATATCCCCATAATAGCAGGATTTCCTGTTTTCAAATTTTCCTTTCATCCCATTCTGGAGACTGTTTAATACCAGGTGTCCATCTTGTTTTGATTATTTCTTCCTCTGTCATACTGGCCTTGGTAAGTGTAGGAAATTGTATATATTTTCTTCTATCATCTGTGCATCTCACCCCTCTCAATGAATTATTCATTATATTATACATTGCAACATGCTGTATGTATTTTGACACATGCAAAACACAAAAGCCATGCTTTTGTATGTCACTGGGGGAGGGAAATTTTTGTAAACACATTTTTGAAGCAGCTTACTGTACCACTGTAAAAATGAGTAATAATCATGAGTTATACTACATGCTCTGTGGGTTGGTTTTCTTCAGAAGAGTATTTCTGTCTCTTGGCATCTGTGATGCAGGGAGATGATTGCTTAAATAAAGGAAAATTTGCATACAAAATAAGATGGAGATGGTGTAAATGATCACTGCTGAAAACATCACATGAAGTGATAGAGCATTAGCAACAGCACAAGTATCTTGTGCTCTGAAGAAAAGTCCCAGTTATCTGCAGTACTAGTGAGATAGTAGGCAGCAATCAACTGATGTACAAATACCTTTCTAAACCTGAAAGTTAGCCAGTGCTGGAGATTGTGTAAGTTTGGATCTAGGCTCAGGAACTTACTGAATTCAAAATATGTAATTCATGTATGAGTCATGTCATGGTAATGAAGATGCTCCAGTTAATTTTCTGATATAGCTGCTCACTTCTCAGCCACACATTTTCATATTTGCTTAGGCAGTGCTTTTTCAAACACTGTAAGAATAATGCTGTTGCTTCCCAATGAAATGGCCTAAGGTGGCCTGAACTTGGTTGAATCCTGATCCCCAAAAATACAGCGAAAGGAGACTTGTTTGCAGCAAGGGCTGTGAATGATCTAACATCTGGAAGCCCCTTTATAAAAATATGTTTAGAAGTTCTTGTGGAAAAGTTTCTATTTCAGGTTTGTTTTCCAATAGTTTGTTATCTAGAGAGAGCATTGCAGTTGGTACTAGTAATGAACTTTAATGAGACTCTTGAAAAGAAAGAAAATTATAATGGTGATGAGGTTGAGGAAAGGATGATCATGCTAGACTTGGTTGGTGTTGAAAACCCAACCTTTTGCTTTTCTGCTTATTGTGTTCCTGGCAAAGACTTTTTTACAGTGTGCTATTAATTATTGTGTAACCTGTATGAAGTTCTCTAAAAATAATTGTTGGTGCTATTTTGACCATTGTTAGATGATACTGATTTCAACTGGATTGCCTATCTGCTGCTGGACCCTTGGATGCTTCCATGAGGTTTGTGTACATACAAAAGAAAAAAGGGATCTGTGGAAGAAAGAGTTTAGATTTATTTCTCAGGGACCTTCCTTAAGTATGTCTGATGATGTATATCAGGGTTTAGGTAGCTTATGACTTTCATCTAGACTGTAAAAGACAGTTGCTGGTCCATGTGTTCCTTTTATTACAGTAGTAGCTGAAAAAAATTGCTTAGTTTCTGCTGAATTTCAGGCTTTCAGAGTGAAGTCAGATGGACCTAACTCTGAAGTTTCATTAGTGTTCCTCAGCTGATTCCCTTATGTTATTGTTGGTGATGTTATTGTTGAAAACTGGATATGTAATGTCAACTACCCTGTCAGTCCAAATATAATTTTGCCTGTTGGATGTTTTTTATACTTACCCATGTTGTTTCCTAGAACCGTTATTTACCATGGAAATGGTATGTCAAGGGTTGGTGTATTCATGGCACTACAGCTGTGAAGCAACTGAAGATGTTAGTGGCCAAGTACAACCCTTAAAATTATAAGGTGCAGTCCTTGAGGAAGTCCTCTTGGGTTTTTTTTTTTTAAAATGAGGAAGCACAGGTCATACCTGCTTTCTCTCTCAGCTGCATAAATATTTTATAATTGTGAGTCTTTTGTTAAGCTAGCTTATTTATGTGTTGGCAATTCCCAGAAGACCCATTTGGCAGTCATTAGGGTATTTTTTGAAATCCACACCTAAAATGGGATTTGAACTGTCATTCTTTTCATTACTGTCCAGATAATTTTCTTGTGATTGAGTGGAAATTAGCCAAATGAAGGCTTTTTCATTAAGGCTTTTTGCAAGGAGAGCTATTTGTTTCATGTAAAAGCTGAATGTATACTTATTTTATGTGTCAGAGATCTTACATATACTTGAATCTATGTCATTCTTAAGTCTGCTTATCTTCTTCTGGCAGAGAGACCATTTGAATGCTGTTTGAAAACATATATTTCAAAACCAGATGATAGGCAGAATAAGACATTACTTTTTCTGTTTCGTAATTTAAGATTCTGTCATCTGTGTTAGAACTGTACTGTTTTTGAATAGAAGTAATTTGGAGTCATCAACTTAACTAGTAATTAAAGCTGTTCTTCCAGATATATGTTTGGAGATGCCATGTCAAGGGAAACGAAATATGTTGTAATATTCACCAGAGTCTGTAGCAAAGTGTGTAAAAATAGCAATGAAAATGTATCAGTAGAGAAACATTACTATTTGTGATCTTCCTCCGCTACTGCATATTGTAGTTGTAGTACAGCTTGCAGACCTTCATGCATTGTGAAGACAGTGGAGAAGATGGAATACAGCATGTACTGTGCATCAGATGCAAAGTGTGGCTGCAAAGTTTATGCTCTAATAAAAGTACTGATGTAATTGCCGGTTTACCGTATATATGATATGGATGTTATTTGACTCTCCAGGCATATTCAGAGTTCTCTTGAAGTTTTGCCAAAAGATCTCATGGTGTCTTGCCCTTGAAAAAAGAGCTCAGTCCAGAACCCTTCTACGTTTAGAAGGTGTAGCATAAACTGTAAATCTAACAGTAGTCAGTGGCTAATGCAGCAGTGTAAGTCCAGAAAATAGAGTACTTCACCTGAAACTGCAACACAAACTCTTAAGGGCATTTTGCTAACAATAGAAAGGTGTCTTTTTTCATTCTGGCTGTATTGACTTCATATCTTGGATGAAATGTGAGCATTTTCTTATGTTTTCCTACTCCTTTAAAAACGGTTATATATAGTACATTATTTCTCCTTACTTCTGATTATAGCATTTTCAAAATTCTCTATGATAAAGGGAAAATTTGACTGAATTGAGCAGTATAAAATGTCAGCCTTTTAGATGGTCTTTGAGCTTGGCAGCAGAAGAGAGAGTCTCAGGAGGTGTCTTGAAGAAGCAGCTTGTGGAAGATGCTTTGAGAAAAAAATGAATAGGGAGAAGTTGTCCATAGAAATAGAAATAGTTCTCTGTTCTTTTTCTTGATTGCCTTGTCAAAAGTGCAGAGGACAGAAAAACTTCTGAGGAAGGGTGTTCACAAAAAGATTTGTGTAGGGTTACTGTGACAAGAGGATTTCAAAAACTGATAGTGCTTGGTAGATGAAATGTGAAGTGTGTTCTTAGTCATAAAAACTTCAGTGATGCTTCCTAGCTCTTCTCACTTTATCAAGACAGCATATGTTTTGTTCAGTTTCAGGCTTTTATTTTAGAAGCTGAATAGTTGTAAGCAGTGTCCAATGGTAGGGATCCATAATGTGTAGAAAAGTAATAATTTTTAATTTAATTTAAGAAATGCTAGTAAATACTGGTGCAACACCAGAGGAGAAATAAAGAGGTAGGACTTACGGAGGGAAGACTGGCAAAATGGATTCAAAATACAAAGAATCTTCCTCAAAAGCATAAGCTGCTTATGGCACACAAATGAAGCTGTGCTGTTGACAGGGTGAAAGTTCTTAGAAAAGTGAGAAAAGGATTCTGAACTACTATATTCAGGCCATGCGTCAGATACAAGAGGTAGTTATTTAAATGAACTGAAACCTGAGATAAGAGCTTGATGTTGAATGTGTACTCAAAATCTCTGTAATGTGTTTTTAATGAATACACTTTTTATTTTTCAGAGATCCAGCTTACTTTGATGAAAATTGGCTGAACAGAATCAAAACAGAAGTAGGAGATAATTGGAGGCTAAAGGTATTTGACTGACTTTGCTTGTCTGTGAATCTGTATTTCAGTACTTAATACAATATTGAGTTTGAATATTCTCACATTTCTGGATTAAGATCTTGCTTTATAGACAGCATTTTGAATTTTAGACAATTTTAATTACACTTGGTTTTTATGTTGTATTGTCCTGCACAGTTTCAACAAAGCCATGTTGAATTTGTAAACAGATTTTAATGATGTAAATGGAAAATATTAAAGTAAATGTTATACATTAATTACCTCTCATTTTTCCAACATTGAATGAGACTTTTTTTAGTGCACAATGTGAAAGCAGCTTTTAAACGATCAGCTTTTTTGAGAAGCAACTGCATAAAAATAGGAACATAATTAGCAATGTATTTAAAGAAAAATGGCAACGTGTTGCTTCCTTTTACTTTGTCAGCTCTGCAGAGCTACTGAGTTTTAAGGGAGGAAGTTGTGTTTTTCCTGTGTTTCTACTCAGCATGATTTTTAATCATAGTTTGCTTGCTGGGTCATTTGTATCACTTCTCTGCAAACCTGAAGGAAACAGAATTTACAAGAACTATGAATGAGGAACATTTTGCTTTAGAATGTGAAGAACACTTCTCACATGCAGATGTTAGTATAGTTTTTTATTAGTTTTCTTCAGAGAATGACCTATGTGCTTCTCTAAATTTCTATTTTCAGCCTGACTAATTTGGGGGAAGAAAAATAGTCAAGAATTTACTGTTAGTTCTTGTTTCCTGTAAAACCGTTTTGTTCCAGCCACCAAAACCCATTCTGAGCATCTGGGGAAGCACTAAAACTGTGAAATGCTCTAGTACTTACAGGCTTGTCTACATCACTTTCTGAATTTCAGGGACACTCAGAGAGAGAATGCTGCCTGAGACAAAGATGGCACACACCGCTGCTGTTTATGTTTTGACTTGGTCAGGAAATGTGTATCAGTGTGATTTCTGCTGTCTGACCAGCTGTGTGAAGTCTGGAATGCTTTAGAATGTTTTGCCTACTACGGCTGCCAGCAAAAGTGAGGGTACATTGATGAGGATATATTGGCTTCTGAATAAGAGGCATGAGCCCTAGAAAAACCTTTAGGACTCTTTTGGCCTACATCTAGATGTAGAGCACTTAATATAAACTAACTTCTCAAAGAATTGTATGGAATAGCAAGTGAACAGCTGGATACAAGGTCTTATTTTTCTGTGAAATTTTTTTTTGGTTTTCCTAAGGAATTTTGAAGTCTTAGCTGTTAAATGTGGAGGATAACAAACTGAGAACTGTTGGTTATAATTGCATTTGAGCTGATTGAATGGGGAGCAGCTTCTATTACTGTCATATGGAATTTGAGGAATAAATATTTTATTTTTGTCTCCCACCATTTTGGCAGATGTAAAAGCTTAGCAGGTATAAAAAAAAAAAAAGAGCTGAACAGTAACTTCCTTATGTGACTTAGGTTGGCAAAGCATCAGGTCAAATTTCAGTTTCTTGCTGTTGTCATTCCATCTTGTTTTTCAAGTGTCCATGTAAACAAGAACTAAAAACTTATTTATTTGTTTTGTTTAAGAAATATGTATAATTCAGCTCTTTGTTTACATTTTTATAGACCACTTCCCTTTTCATGAAGAATACCAAAAGGCACAAGTATGATACTTTAACTCTTGGTTTTTGATATGGAAGTAATCCTGTACTTTGCCTATTGTTTTTTATATGTGAGTAAACATTATCAGTAGTCTAGTTTTTCAAATGTCTATCATCCAATCCTTAATTTAAAGTCTGGCTTGTAGGAACACTACCTATGTGCATTTCTATTAATAGAATTGTTCAGCTTGGGAGGGACTTAAGATCAAGTTAACTCTACCAAGTCCACACTAAACCATTACCCTAAGCTCCACATCTACACCTCTTCTAAATGCCTTCAGGGATAGTAACCCAACTACTTCCCTGGGCAGCCTGTTCCAATGCTTGAAAATGCCTTTGGTGAAGAAATTTTTCATAATACCCAATTTTAACTTCCCCTGGGGCAGCTTGAGGCCATTTCCTCTCATCCTGTCACTTGCTAACTGGGAGAAGAGACCGACCCTCACCTCACTACAGCCTCCTTTTAGAAATATATTCATTACTGGATATGCATCATAGTTGCATGACTCTAGAATATAGTTTTCCCTTCATACTTTAAGAAGTGCCTTGAGAAATGATAAGTGGATTATCTCAAGTGTTGTGGTAATGAGCTACATTATTTTCTTGTTGCTAAACATGGTCACTCTTGTCTCTGATGCCACCTGGTGTAATGGTCACCACTTGTACAAACTCTTGGTATTGTGAACCACGTAAAGGAGCTGGTCTAGTAGGGGGAATACAGAAAAACAATCTAGTGTAGGCAGTTTTGTGAAACAGTGGTTAGGAGGGCTGGTAGAGATTAGTGTAGGTCTTGTACAGCCCACCTAACCACTGTTCATGGAAGTACTTAGAAAATGATAGAATCATAGAGTTGTTAATTTTGGAAAAGACCTTTAAGATTTTGTCCAGCTGTCAACCTAGCACCACCACTATGTTCACCACAACCCATTATGTCACCAAGTGCCATATCTGCACATTTTTTGAACACTTCCATGGATGATGACTCTACCATTTTGCTAGGCAGTCTGCTCCAATGCTCTACAACGCTTTCTGTTAAAATATTTTGCCTAATATTTTGCCTAAAACTTACCTGATACCTCTTGAGACAGTTTCTTCTTGTCCTGTCACTTGTTACCTGGGTGAAGGTAATGAGTCATGTGATTGTGTTTTGAATTGTGTGTTGTCCTCTGTGGAGCAGAAACAAGAACATAAGGCTGAGGTTTTTTTTGGGAGGGGGTAGGAGGGGGATTCACGGGTTTGATTAGTTTGGCTTTTTTAGTATTTTGCTTTCTGATAACTGCAATGTTTTTGCTGTTGCTGTATCATTTGAAAAAAAAAACCCAAAAACTCAAAGGGATGTTTTTAAATTCTTGGTTTCAGGACAAGTTGCCAGACTTGAGAAATTGAGCAATGCACAGTAGAGAAAAAGGGAAATGCTAAAACTTGGGGAACTTGCAAAATAGGAACCATTCAGCAAGCATTGTGGTTCTTAGAGCTAACCATATCTTTGTCTACTGTATTTAGTAGAGAAATGTTATTTCTTCAGGGTTAAAATTTCATGCTTATAGCATACATCAATGTACATAATAGTTTGTGTTTTCCCTTGGGTAACAAAAAGACTTTTCACTGCTGCTATTTTATGATGGTTTACAAACATAAAAAAGCAAAGCCATTAACTCTTTCCTCATGTACAATGAACACTTCTGTATAGTCCAGATTTAAATTGTGTACAACATAGTATTTTGTGGCTGAGGAAGATGCCATCTTGAACATAAAACCTATACTGAAAATAAAAGCAACTTAGAAAATAATTTGATTGCCAAAACTTTACAGGAATGAAATTCCATAATCCAGAAAACAATTACTGATTTGATTCATGTGCGTCAGTTTTGCAATTAATAAACTGTTGGCTCTCTGAGGGATGGCATAAAAGTCCCCCTTCCCCTCGTCCTCTTTCACTCAGTGTGGAAAGCTTAGGAAGAAAAGGAAACACATTGTTCAGCTTGATTTCTGACTTTTTCTTTTGAACTTTTCATTTTGGCATTCAGACTACAGCATCAATTTAAAGTACAGTTTATTAATGTTTTAGTAGCAAGCTGTGTTAGTCTTATGAACCTTCACTATCTAGTCTTTCTCTAGGTTCCACCTATAATCAGTGATGAGACATGTTCCTGCAAAATGCAGTTTAAATCAGAAACCATATGCCTGTGAGAGTGGTACAAACAGTGAACACACGTGCTCCCTCCCCTTCTTGGTGTGTGCACACATACACCCACACGCCCATGCCCATCCACCCCCCACCCCACCTGTTAACTGCAAATGGATAAAAATGTACCTTAATGAGATATTCAAGGCTTATTGGCTAAGAATTCCCACACTACTTGAAAGTGTGTGCCAGCAACATTTCCAGATATTATTCAAGATTTGAAATTAAAAAAAGAAAAGCCAATTTACACAGAGCCTCCAGTGCAAACAGGGTTTCAGTCATACATGTGATATAAGAGTAATGCAAAATTGGAGACTGTCTGCCATAATGTTGGAGAAAAACAAGGAAGTTAGATAACCTATTCTCACTTTTTGTCATCAATCACAAGCTTAAGGGCATTTTCTATTGCCCACGTCATTGGCCTTTCCCTTTGTTACACAACTATATTAGTAAAGGGAGAAATCTAGACAGACTGCACTTACAAACCTGAGATTGGAAACAGTAAGCAAGCTGTAATTAATAGAGATTTTATATGACAAGTGAGAATAAAAGAAAAACAGGAGAAAAAAACAAGCAACCATTAAGTCTTATGGGGTTTGCAGATTACATGATCTCTGCCTTCACTCCAGTCAGTTTATCAGGTTAATGCTGTGTAATAAGGGTCAGTATCATACTAAGCACTGTGTGCTTAGTATGTAGTACTGTACTACAGCCAAGATGGCTGTTAACAGAGAGGGTAATGATAATTTAACGTAGAGAACACCCACACAACTCTGGTGTGGCTATTAGTGAAATGTAGGTGTTCAAAGGAGTGAGAATATTGAGGTTGCATCAATTTTCTCAGATGGTAAAGAGATTGAAAATGGATAGAGTTTTGTCCAGAAATACTTATTGGTCCATCTGTTGTGAATTAAATGCAACAGATTTCTGAGGTGAAACAACCAACAAATTTCTGAGGTGAAATAAAGCATAGTTGTCACTTTTTTTTACCCCAGTAAACTTCACGTCTTTTCCAGCAGAAGTATGGCTTCAGGGAATGAAAAAGGTATTGGGAGGATAGTATGAATATCTTCGCGGAAAAGCAAGAACTCAGGTTGCTGATGCACGCAAATAGGCATCCCATGTGGTCATGGGCTGACATCCGAACAATGGTTTAGTACTTTATAGTCATAATCTGTATTGGCAGTTCTGTCTGTTGTGGTCTGACGTTATGTCATTTAATGGTCATTGTTAACTACAGTTAGGTTTTCCTATGTGCTTAAGAAAGTGAAAAGTAATTCTGAACAGCTGTCACCTGGTGTGACTTAGAATTCTGATCTAATTGGTTGTCTTGAACACTTTCTTAGGCTGTTGTTAATTTTCATTTAGCTGCTTGAGGTCTTCATTTCATATGCTTTGACCTCATAAATGTTGCTGGAACTACTCAGTTCAATTTCCAAGTACAAAATATTAGTGGTAGTTTCCCTATGATGTTCCTCTCTGCCAGGGGCAGTAAAACCATCTAAGTTTATTGACTGCAAGCAAGTTAGGAAAAAAATTGAGAGCTGTTTGAGTAATACTGAAGATCATGCTTAAGTTTAAGTCAGTCCTAGTCTTAAAAGAAGTCTATAAAGAAGCTGCTTTAACCTCACAATTATCTGATTGTGTGCCAAATACAAAGATGGTACAGTTAATTCTTGAAAACAAGTTACCCTGGTACTGTTGATTGTCAGTGGGGTAAAATAGGATGGCGAAGATTTCTTTTTCAGTTTGTTTGCTGTTCTCTTCTTTCAAGGATACTGCCCTACAAGCTCATTTTCGTGATGAATTTTGATCAATATTAGTTTTGTTTCAGTATCTCAACTCCAAGCACTGTAAAAGTTATATAGTGGAAGGTGGCTCTTTGTGTTTAAGGAATTTTAATTCAAAAATGCTTACAAGGAGAGGGGGAAAGAAGTATTTCACAGGTTTCCATTTGGTTTCTCATTTTTTTGGGATTATGTTCAAGTTCAAGGTTCCTCACAAATGTTCTCATCGGTAAACTGGACTTAAATTCTGCAACATGGCCCTTGCGTTTCCTCTGCATCAGACTCAGGTAAATTGTAAACCAGAAGATTTTAGTTAATCAAGTTTGAAAATAATATTCCAATCAGTGCAGTACTCTTTGTGATGATTTGATATAAAAATAAAATTTCTTAATTTCTTTAAATTCTGAAATCTGTTGCAGGCTTTGGTTATGATTATGCATTGCCTTTGAGTGGTGGTCTTGGCTGCAGTTGGGCAGACACCTAGGAAATAGTTGCAGCTCTTACAGAATCATGCTATGTTGTGTGTAATAGTACAGAAAAAGTATGTGCTTTGGTGTAGAAGGTGTAGAAGGTGGCTGCCTATTATGCCATTTTGGCAGTGACAGTAGATGTTCTCATATACATATAGTGTAGCCTCTCCAGTTCTCATTCTAGGTTGTCAAGGTATTTGATGTGTCACTTTTCAGGTCCAAATGAATTTGTTTCTTACATGACTTAAAATTCAGTGATAATGGAGACAGTCAGAATGTTCCTATGTCTTCATAAGGAATCAACTTATGGCACTTCTATCCAAAAGGGAGTAGATTAATAGGAGTCAGGTAATTGGATTGTTATCACTTTGGTTTTCTTGGAAAAATCTTCTAGTGTGTGTATCCTGTTCCTTTCTTGAGTCTGAAATTTACTTTCATCACCTCATTTTGTTTGTTGACCATATTGAAGTGTTGAGTTTGTCCCTGGATTTCAGTATCATGTTTCCTAGCGGCCATCAGGTAGTTTGAAAGGTAAATAATTTCTGTCACTGGACAGAATCTTCTAACTGGGTATTTCTAGAATGCAGTCAAGAATATAAAATTTATGGTGGGCTTCAAAAGCAATTAGAACTTGAGAGGTTTTGCTCTTCCTTCATTGCAGTTCCACAGTTTGCTGCTGTGGCTGCTGCTGTCAGCGAGAGAACTTTGTGAATCCCCCTTATATTGGTTTTAATCTTTGCAGATCCTGTTTAAACTTCAGTCATACAATCGTGTAAGTTGGTAAATATCCTTAAGATCATAGAATCCAACCATAAACTGCCAAGTCCATCAATAAGTCTTGTCCCAGCATACCACATCTACACAGCTATTTGCACACCACAAGGATGGTGACTCAGTTGTGTCCTGGGTAGCCTGTTACATTGTTTGATAATGCTTGCTGATAAAGAGATGTTTCCTGATACTCTTCCTGGCAAAACACTCTTCCTGGCAAAACTTGAAGCCTTTTCCTCTTGTCCCATCTTGTTAGCTGGGAGAAGAGGCTGATCCCCCCCTGGCCACAGCCTGCTTTCAGGGAGTTGTAAAGAGTGATAAGGTCACCCCTGAGCCTCCTTTTCTCCAAGCTAAACACCCCCAGCTCTCTCAGCCACTCCTTTGTCCCAGGAAACAGTGTGCCACTTCTATTATCTAAATTATTTTCTTAAATACTTGAACAGTAATTGATGGTTATCTCTAGCAGTTACTTTCAGCAAAGATTCTTTTTTTTTTCCTCTGGATTTCACCTGTGAGACCCATGGGCATTTTTATAATTTTAAACACACTATTTCCAGAGACTTGACACAAATGGATTTTTGCTGGGAAGGGAGCAATACTCAGTACTAGACGAATGTGACGTACATTCTGTACAGCAGGAGATACTTAACTGATGCCATTGGTTATACGAGTGAACAGAAGCCACCTTTGTATAGCAGTGAAGTCATCTTGGAGAAATGTAAATTTTGCCAGTAAGTCTGGCACTGTAAGGCAGACTTTCATTTGTAAAAACTGGGAGGAGAGATAGAGAATGACAAGAACAAAAATAAAAGAGCTAAGAAGAATAATTTATGAGAAAAACAACAAATTAAACTTATATGGGTTGAGAATAAAGGATGATATTAAGCAGTAGCTGGTTTTGGTTTGGAAGAAGAGGTTTATCTCTGCAGAAAGTAGATTACTAGGATACTTCAAGAGAAGAAAGGAGGGAAATAATGTTTTAACTTCTGGATGCAAAGATAATCCTAAGATAAACAAGTATCTAAAAACATTCATGCAATAGGTTCTGATTTAAAGCCTATCCAAGACAATGTTGTATTTTTCATAAATTTAAATGGGTTCTGTGAGTTCATAAAGATTTGTGATCACATCTGGAAGTCTGGTCATAAGGGCCTCTTGCATAACTTTCATGATTCTAAATTTAACTGTGCATAAATAATGTAATTATATCCTTTTGTGTGATTCTTCTGTGATTACCCACTTTATGTTGATTTCTCTGTAAAATACTTCCTGTATTTATTGTATCTCCTCTTTCTTGTCAAATAGGTAAGCAACCTGAAGAAAATTTTAAAAGGAATACTGGATTACAACCATGAGGTAAGAACCATTTGAACTAGTCTTCATCTGCTTGCCTTTTGAATCATGTATTTTAGTTAACCTGTGGAAGATAAATTGCATTCTGCAGGTTAAGTTCTGACGTTTTCTTGCAGACCTTTTGGTATATATGGTGACTCATGGCCTATTCCCTAGTCTTGACCTTCTTTAAACCTTCCCACCTGCTTTATTGAATACTCAGGAGTACCAGGGAAGCCTGATGCACAAATTTTCTCATGTGAGGCTTTACATGATGGCTTTACTGACTATGTTGTGATGATGGACTTTGTGTCTGATGTACTGTAATGTACCTGTGCCTGATTTTTTTCCTTCCTCCACTGCAGCTGAAGTCTGCTCTTTTCCTTATTTTTCTCTTGGAGAGAGTGAGTAGAGAGCATTTCTAGCCTCTCCCTGCATTAAGATTTTAAATTAAATATTTTAATTCAGGTGTGTTGGACTCAGTCTTTGTCATTCTCTCTTATTTTGAGCAAACTCAGCACTTAATTACTCCAGAGGAGACAGTATTTTTTTCTTTCAGTGGCGAATCTTCAGCTGAAATATGCCTTCAGTGATGTTTGAGATGAATTGATCTGTACAGGTGACAGCACAAAATCCATAATATGCATGTTTTAGACATTGCTTGTTTCAAAATACTGTCTTCTCCTAAATACTGCAGTGATTTGTTAATAAATTGAAGTACTTCAAAAAGAAAAATTTGGACTTAGGAGGTCATCTTCAGTAAATGATTAGGTATCCATTTTTAAATAAATGTTGAAAAGTGATGAGTAAGCAAGCTGGTAATGACTGGGAACACTAAAAAGAAACAGATCAGCTTTTTGTTATGGAAAATTAACATTACTAAGACAAAGTAATGCAAACTTCTTTTTGGTTGGTTAGTATGTATGACGATTAAGTTTCTGGTGTCCAAACTTTACTATTAGGCAAGTTCTGAGCGGATTCAAGCTGATTAATTTATGTAAAGGTAGTGCATGTTTATAAATCTCACTGAATTTTTGTTTAGGTTGGTATTTTTCCTGCTGAGGCAATGCTGGAGCTGATAGTAGGGGAAATCTGGATTCTACTAATGAATTCTGCTTATGTTTTCCTCAACATTACTACCTCCCCTGCTATGAAAATATAGATATGTATATGGATTTTACCTGATGCAGTTAAAAGCATTTGGAAAATCTATATGCTGATATTGTTCACCCTCAAGAATTCAGAAATTTGTATTGCGTTCAAAAGAACAATCAGTAAAAATGCTACATTTGCTGTCATTGTCCATTTAAAGTGCAGAAGAACAAGAAGCCTGAGTTAACTATATCTTTCATGCTTTGTTCTGCCTCATTTAATCTTGCTGCAGACCTCTGCTTCTTGCAACTAAAACTTTTAGTTTTTTTGTAAATGTGTAATTCTTTTGTCTTTTTGAAAATGGGTTAAATGCTGTTTTTTATCTCAAGATAGTTATTATGTAGTCTATCCTTCATTTTCATATTTCTTTCAGGGCTTTTGATGGCTTTTTTTGGTTCTTTTTCTTTAAATTAAATTTTTTCTCTTGTTTATTTCAAACTCTGTGACACCTTCGCATCCTTGGCTTCTTCCTAGTGTCTGCCAATTTACTTACTCCTTCAGCTTTCCTTAACAGTAGTTTTATGGTCAGTGACTATCAAGTCACTGTAGTTTTGTTAACTTAAACCCAGCATTGCATTTGAAAGAAATTCAGGAACTACAATATCAATATATAAATGCATACCAGAATCAAAACACATTGTATTTTCTGTTAATGCAGTCTGTGTATGATGGTAATATTTTCCATTGTGGTTGGTGTATTCACAGAATTCTTTTGACCTAAAGAAGGTCTTTTCCAGCAAGGATCAATCTGTGTCCTTTAAAGTATGCAGAGATTTTTAGTAATGTTGAAGTTAATTCTTTGAGAAAACTGCTTAAAAATCCTACTGTTTCACAAACAAAACAAACTGTACATAGTCAGAATGAAACCACAATACTTCCACAAAACCCAGCCCTACTAACTTTACAATAGTTTGTGTTTTTGTATTCTTCCTGTGCGCTATGTTTTTTGTAAATGCCTTAACCTGATTTCTGTTTTTCTTGGGTATTGCACAAAAAAGAGCATGCAGCAAACACATGACTGAGTCCCTCTATATAGTCATTGTTTCCTTATCGCACCCTGTTTAAGAAGTTACAGTTTCTTTTTATCTGCAATTAATGTGTCAGTGATGTGTTTAATTCCAAATTTCATATTCATATTTTCAACCCTCTGTTCAGTAAAGAGCAATTTAGCAGAATTGTCTAGTTTCTTCTACTGCCAATCATTAATCCTTAATGATCTTTAATGATAAATCAGATAACACTAATAGCGAGTCACACGGGCTTTTGTTTTGCAGGGTTTTTTCTTTCTTACTGCATGTGGGCTGTTTAATTGCATATCATTGTACTACTACCTCAGATTCTCTTCCATGGAACAGCTTTCTTAGCTGTAAGAGTTGTCAGATATCCTTAAATTTGTTAAAAGTGTGAGGTCTAGTGATCTGAGTTTTTTGCCGTCTTGTATTTGTCATCTGTCAGTGTTAGATATATGTATTGTATAGGTGAAACATTTAATGTTTCAGCATTTAATTCTTTAAGAAAAAATCTTCCTAAGTGTTCATCTAGCAGTTACTTGTGCGTTGAGACAATCATGTTTATCTTTTCACAAATGTTATTGTATCAAACAGTATGATTTTAGAGTGGGATGTTACATAAAGCAATTTGTTTTGAAGGTGTATACAAAACTATAGTAAAGCAAGAGTGAATTGCTGTTGTTGATTCTGAATCACCTTCCTATGAAATAAATTGATATGTATATGTGCAGTGATATACAGCCATGTATGTACCTTGTCTTTATGCAGATTCTAGGGCAACAGATAAATGACTTCACTCTTCCTGATGTTAACCTGATTGGAGAGCATGCTGATGCTGCAGAGCTTGGAAGAATGCTTCAACTTATTTTGGGATGCGCTGTGAATTGTGAACAGAAGCAAGGTAATAAATTTTGAAAGCATGTTTTCTTGGTTATTATGCAAATATTAAGGAAAGAAGTTATATTTCTTGGGTTCCTGCCAGAAACAGATTTTTTTTTTTAAATAATAATGATGACCTTAGTTTGTTGTACAGATAGTAACTGTTTTTTGGTGTCAGCTTCACTGCTTTTGGAGAGTCAGACTGGAATTGAATTTCCTTCCAAGATGAGTATTTTCAGTTTTGGTTTCCTGAGCTGAAAATCGGTATACAAAGACAAAAAATTCTTGGGTACACCTTTTAACAGTTTACGAGGTAGATCAGGATAGTTAAGAATGGAAACGTGATTATTGCATTATACAGCATAACTCTTGAATTCCAGGCATCATTTTACTACATGGCCAAAAGCCATCAGTGTGACTGGTGCTTGGTCTGACGATATGTCTGGTGTGAACTGGTTTTCTGTAGTTCCTGAGATGTTTCTATGGAGTTGGCAAATAGGAAAAAGTAATGCTGGCAAACATGCTCTTTTGGGCAACAGCTGAAGATGGAGCATGATAAGGTCACCCAAAAAGTCACTTCAGGCCAATTGCCAGACAACTGAATCCCACTTTAGCAGTCCCTGAAGGAGACTCCTGTGTCTCTACCCACGTGGCACTGACTGGAATTCAGAGCTGCACAAATACAGTAGAGATCCATTCATCTTTCTCAAAGGTGCCAGAGAGGATGTGATGAACAATGGACATGTTTGTTAAAGTGTGCTACATCTCATGCTCTAAATTTTCTTGGGGTGTAGGCTGTAAATTGTTACCCAGTTATCTTAAATTACACTTCATTCAAGCCAGATGAAGGTATCTGCAAATGCAAACATTTATTCTAAATATTTTAAAAAGGAAATTTAGTCATGTGTGGGAAAAATAGATGTGTTGGAAAATAAGACTTTTTTTTACTCTATTTGTGTGACAATTGCATCAAATAAGTGTGTCTTCTAGATACAGCTGATTTTGTGTTTGATGGCTGCCAAGATTTTAGGCCTTTTGTCTTCCTCTTGCTTGGTGCATCTTAACTTTACAGCTGGTTTCCCCTTTCCAGTTTTCCTAGGTAACTAAATCACTTTAGTTTCTCCCTCTGAAATTAGTTCTGTTCTCTTAACCAGGAGGTCATCTGGATATTCTATTAATTAAAATAGAAGTAGTGTTCTTCCACAAGTACATAAATAACTCTGGTTTACTAAACCTCCTGTCATCTCTGTTTTATATAAAATTATCTTCCCTTTGGATAATCATTTTTTGTCATTTTCGAGTGGGAAGTGTATCTTGTTCTTGTGTCCCCTTAACTCTATCAGTCTTGGCATTAAAAATGCACACTTGAAATACCAGAACAATCAAATTTTATGTACTTTGAGCAAGATTCAGCATGAGGAAATTACCCACTTGAAGGTGACTTTTTCCCCCAGCATCTTTATCTTAATCACATCATTAAAAGAATAAAGGAGATGATGTTTGACTGGAAACCATACTGGGCAAGTCATTTACTCCTTGACTTAGTCTAAATGTCAGAATTTGTTCTTCTGGCTACTGTATCATCTTACAAGGCACCTCTTGTGTAGCTCACATGTACATATAGCTGAGAACTTGAAAAGTGGAGGGGACTTAATTTGTGATGTACTACAGAAATAAGAACAGACACCAAAAATGAACATGAAAATGATTTAAAATAGGGGTGCTGTAGGAAGGCAGGCTGTTACTGTTACATTTACAGAAAAGGACAACCTATGCATGGATCATGTACTTCAAGAGCCTGAACAGTTTCGGAACAGAGTGAGAAATGGATAAAAGTAGTTATTTCAGAAGTGTGATATGCCAGGGGAGGAAAAAAGGTAATCATGTACTTTTTTCATTGTTGTAGAGTTCAAATAAGCCTGGATTTGTATCTGAACAGGTTTGTGATAAAATCTATTTTAGTTTGTTGGGGTGGAACTTGACTGGTGCTTATACATTTCAGTGTCATCCCTGGCATCTAGTAATTTTCTAGGAAGGATGCAGCTTCTGATCTTGCCTTCTATGACTTGAGTTTCAACATTGACATTTCAGAATGCTTTTATTTCAGAGTACATCCAGACCATTATGATGATGGAAGAATCAGTTCAACATGTTGTCATGACAGCCATTCAGGAGGTATGCTGGGATGCCCATAGTGTGTGAAAGTTCAGTCTTTCATTATTTTACAGTAGTATGCTTTTTCCTGCTTAGGAAAAACTTAGTTGAAAGTAAAGAAAATAAGGGGCATAAGATTTTGCCTTTTTGCAATGAAAAATTATTTTTTTTTCCTTAGAAAAATCTTGCTTTATGTCAAAGAACTCTGGTTGAATGTCCCACTTTTCTTTAAATCTAGAAGACAAACTTCTAGATATTTTTGGTACTGGGTTCCCTTTCCTTTTCTTTTCCCACCCTGTGAATCCTGAAGTGCACTAGATTTATTTTCTGTGGATAACCAGTTACTGCAGAATTTTGTCAAAATTTGTACCTTGAAACTGCAAAATTTCATAAACTGTTTTTTTTTTTTTTTTTTTTTATTTAGTAGACAAGTGAAAAGAAAGATAATTGGGTAACATTATTGTTTTGTCAGCTGTAGTGTTATGAATTGGGTAATGATTATGTCAGATGAACATATATGAATAATACAGTAGACTGGTATGTTTTTAGAAGTCAGTGAGTATACTGCAGTCCGTTTTGTAGAAGTGCTCTTCTGTGGTAAATCAAAACCATGGTGTTAGCAACTGAACCCCCCCTGTGACTTACAAGAAGTCTGAAGTGCCTATAATAAAAATGCCTAACAGTCTGCAGTTGTTTACTGCAGGGCAGGCCACTAGCTAGAGCAGGTCACTAGCTAGGGAAGGCAGGAAACCACTAGTAATCCTGTTTCCTCTGAACCAGAACAAGAGAAACTAAATTCCACATTGAGCTTCAGAGCAGTTTCTCATCTCTGTAATGTCTGAATAGAGGAAGAAATACCAGTGAGCCTACAAGGGAATCTCTCCACAGTCATCACTTTGACCAGTGCTCTATCCATGCAGTCATACATACAGTTGTCTGTGTGTGGACTGCTGGCTGTAACACAGCAGAAAGGACTTTGGAAATGAGCATCAAAAGAATTGTTGTCTAAATTATCTTCCACTCAGTGCTGCCAAGCACCAGTTTGCTGGAGTTTTGGCGTATTTTACTTTTTTGTAAGTTTTGTAAAGTATTTTGGTGGATTTTTCTAGTGTTTTTTATTAAATCCAAATTGCAGCATCACTGTCTTCTGCACCACCTTGAAATAGAAAAACTTTCTTTATCTTCCTTTTTTATGTTGAAAATCTATTCAATTTTTATAAAAGTCTCCTTTATTTAATAAAATAACCCATTGAAGCAGCTCACAGTTTTCAGCATTTAATGGGTAAACTTTGAACTTGTTCAGTGTGTGTGCCTTTTTGCTGACATGATGAGTAGAAGTCGGAAGACATCACAGGGTAAGAGTATGTTCTTCTGGAACAGATATTTAAAATTCAGTGAATCAAAAAGCTTAGTATTCAGCTACTGACACAGTTCTGAGTGATTTTAATGCTACTTCGCAAGCTTAGAAATCGAAGGCATTTGAGGACCAAATGAGGAGGATCTCAAGTGCTAAATGAAGAGGCAAGAAAGTGTCTCAGACTTCGAGGCACTTTGAGAGCAAGGCCTCTCTCCATTATTTTCCAATGGGCTTGGAGTTTGGAGACGTCCCAGTCAGCTGGAAGCCAGCAAATATTATTCCAGTTTTCAAGAAGAGAAAGAAAGGTGCTGTCAGTTGTAGGCCTGTCTCACTTCCGTGTCTGGAAAAATTATGGAGGAGGTTACTCTGGGAGTTAGGTCATACCCAGCACAGATTGATACAGGAAGAGTTTAAAGGGGTGAAACTTAATGGGATCTTGTAAGGATCTTTTCTATTTCTTAGACTCATAGCAGCTTCTAGAATTCAAGTGACTTACAAAAAGCAGTATGTAGGAAATTAGCTACATATGAATATTTGAAAAGTTGGTATATTACCTAATCCAAACATTTTAAAGCATTTGACATTGGGTGTTGTCTTCAAAATTAGGTATGTCAGAAGACCTAAGCTTTACTGATTTATTATGTAATTCATTTTTCTGCTTCAGCTGAGCACGTACAAATTTTTTTGATGCTTCTTTGGCTATTGTAAATAATTTTGCTCATGAAAGTATTTCATATGGCACAATAGAAAAAGTTTTCTCAATTTTTTATGAAGAAGCTGATTTTTCAATGGAATAAGCAGCATTTTATATGCTAAATTTTATTCAGTTATTTCATTTGTTATTAACCTGTGGTTCTTCATAACTTATTTTCATCACTTATTTAAATGTTTGAAATATACCTTGTGCTCCATAAAGGTTTTATAAATGAAACAGTGGTTTTCTGTTAGTTTTTCAGTGCAGTCAAATTGGTCTGGTGTGTTGTCTCCACTGACAGATTAGCATCTGAGATGCTAATCTGCAGATGTAGGTATCAAAATGCAACTTGTGCACAAAATACAAGACTGAATACATTCGTATATGTAATATAACAGGGTCTTTTTATTTCATAATTTTCAGATTTTTTAAAGGCCCAAAATATTTTTTTAGAGAAATTATTTTGCCCATTTTATATTTCCCTTTCCCCCTTCCCCTTCTGTCATTTTCCCAAGTCTCTTCCTTGGGTGGCCAAGTTCATTGTTGATGAAGGTGGTAGCTAAGGTAAACAAATTATTTTCCTTTGCTGTTTAGAACATCTCTAAATTCCATCACATAGCAGCTCTCTGGGCAGGTCAAGCTGAGAGTCAAAATAGTGTCAGGAGTAGTGTCAAAACTTGCCGAGGGGAGAGTAGGAAAGGTGCTTACTCTCCGGAGTAACACCAATGATGTTATTTCCACTTTTTGGTTTTGTACTGTTTTTCCCTCTATTTTTTCCTGATAAAAAAGATTTTTAAAATATTTTTAAAAGATTTATCTTAAGTAAAATTATTTTTTGAATAGTTAGGAAATTATATAAAAGTATTTTATTGGGTCTATCAACAGATAGACTGGAGGTAGACTGGGTATCAACTGGAGGAAGAAGAAAGTCCAGCTGCTTTAAAGGATATACAGTATCAAATATAGCCATGACTCATAAAAACTAACATAAAGATGTTCTAAGAAAGAAAAAGAACGTGAGTACAGAAGCTAGGTTTTGACATTGTTTTGTGGGCATTTAAGTGAGCTTATACAGTATTACTAACTGTAGAAAAAGCATTTCAGATAAAGCAAGTGTTTTGGATTTCAAAGTCAACTAAACAGAGCAACTGTGTTTGCAAAATCATGTGTGGGGGAAAAAAAGCTTTCATAATTCATGTTATTCATGCATGCAGGTTTTGTGATAGTTCTACCCCTTCCCTAATCTTCATGTATCCATGACAACACAGCTTGTTCATATTTTACAGTGAAAGCAGTTAAAAAGTGAAGGTTTTAATAATATAGGATTAGCAGACCTACAAGTATTATGTAAGCTATCATACCAAAGCTATGAGCATGAAAAAATGTAGATGTAAAGAATTAACAGGGAATGACAGCTGCTTCTTATAAAACTACACAGATAACTGTAAGAATTGTCATGTTGTCCAGGTAATTGCACCATTGAAAATCCATACTGACCTCTATGCAAAATAAACCAGAAAAAGAACAAGCCTATAAATGCTAGTTGCTAGTTTATTTCACTCTGGGAAGCTCTTAGGCAGGATTTTCTTTCTCCTGCAGAGGCCCAATGCAATCGCTTGAATTTGCAAGCACATTTTTGATGTTTCCCTTTTTATAATCTCTGCACATTTTTTATAATCTCTACACCCTCTGCATACTCCTCCATTAAAGTTATGTGTGAAAATAGTTGATTATACTATACCTACACTAAAATATGAATTTGGAAATGAAAGCCAGTTCGGGTGCTGCAAAATTGTGGAGATAAACTTTATTCCCTTTGTAGTCTGGTCCTGAAGAAAACTTACATATGTGAAGGGAAAATGGGAAGGACACTTCCTTCTGCTTTTTATTCTCTTGACTGATTTGAAATACAAATGAAATAAAGTTTGCCCCTCTAAACTCAAAAGTATTACTATTGATCCAGACCTCTCAAGACCATGTACTCTAGTGTCATGCTTGCAGGTTGCATGTGAAGTTCTGAAATGACATCAGTTTTTCATGAATTTTTTCTGACTATGAGCTTTTAAATAAAGAAAATATATAGAAGAAAAAACATTATGGAAATTTGCTTTCAAAATTATTAAAAGTATTGTAAGATTAGTAATAAATAATGCAGACAAAGCTGATGTGCCATTAAGCAGGTAAATGATTAAATGAGCACTTTGCAACTCTAAATTTCAGTAATATCAGAGAATGCTGATTGACCAGAAACAAAGTCAAGAATAGGGAAAACTAGGCAAGCCTCTTATCTTGCATTTTTCAGGTGGATGGAAGGTGTAGTGTGTGTTTCAAGTTGATATGCCTATCTGTATGAAATCTTAAAACATGGCATTCAGTAAAAGTTTTCTTCTTGAAATTTTAAAATCTGAAGGAAGAAAGAAGTTTGTGTAGGTGAGTGGAGTTGTGTGCTCTATTGGCTGTTCTATTTATGGTAGAGTTTTTGCTTCTCAGTGGGGAGAAGTTGTGTACAGGCAATCCTGAAGCAGAGCATGTGTAAACCATTTACATATTTACAGTATGTGGGGGAGATGTGTAGGGAAAAGATGGAAGCACTCCTTTGCCATGATAATTCTACCTTTACATCCCACTTCTTACAGTTCTTTTATTGTTAACTGATGATCAGAAGTTGGATTCCTGTGTTCCTTTTGAGTTACCTAGCGATCTCATGCTTGTTCTTTGTCTGGTTGTAGTACTGGGCACAAAACGATCCCTTAAGTTTCATCTTTAGCTTTTCCACTATGCATACCCCAGACCATCCAATTGCAAGGTGCTTTCTATTGCACTGAGTCATGTGAGATACATCTGCACGTGTATCTGTGGCTTTTACTCTTGGTGCCTCATTCACCTTTCCTCGTCACATTCTTAATGTACCCCGTGGAGTGAAATTCACACATGCAGTGTGCATTCATGGTACACCCAGAATATGTATCTCCAGTATCTAATCCTACTCCAGATAATGTCCTCTTTTCTGGACATTTCTGCTAACGGTTCTCAAGGACAGGATGTTTTGGGAAAGATGGCAAAACTTGTTGAAGAAAATAGGGATTATATTATTAGCCATGGCCTGGCTTATGGAAAGTCACAGAAAGCAATGACACCACAGTGGCCTCTAGTGGGTTGTTTGGTCACTTGTATTCCTTCTACTCCAAGTCTTGGGCAGGCCCGTTGAGCTGGTTTTTCAAACAGGAAGTTGTGTTAGGGCCAGAAATGAGTGGTGGCTGTTAGGGACATGTTGTACACCCTTGCAGGCTGCATGCAGCATGGGACCTGCCTGTTGGAAAGTGCTGACTTAGCAGGCAGAACTTAGTTGTATGTGTGTGAGTACATGTGTCCGAAGTGTGTTTGTGAACAGCATTGTGGAATATAAAATACTGATACGAGTTCAGCATTTAGCTAGTATGGGAATATCCCTGTTAGTCATCTGGAAAAGCTGGTGAAATCCAGTATTCAAAGTGTGCATGAACATCACAGAGCAGGAAGGGTTTGAGTGGTTTTGTTTAAATGATAATCAGCTTAGAAAACAGGGTCCTAAATTGAAGATAAGTTTGTAATGCCATTATATATGGTAATGAAAAAGACTTCATTTTTCAGGGGACAGCTCTGAGACTAGGGACTTTGTAATTATTGTTGCAGAATGTAGGCTTGATGTAATGCTTCTTCATGGAGTAGTTTGTCATTGTAAAGATGTAGAAGAAAACGGAAGAAATTTGGCAAATGTTGTCACAGTGTGAGGAGGACTGCTGAGGAGATACGGATTATTCTAAATAATGCAGCTAAATCCTAGTTAAGGAAATGGGGAAAGTGAGAGAAATGTGAGTGTATGATTTGAATGATGTAAATGTCAAACAGATTTTTCACTTGTACATGGTGATAATAAGCAGACAGGATTGAGAAATGAAGGCTCTGTGTATCCCAAAAGATCTTGCTAAGGAAAATAGTGCAAAAACACTGATTTCTAGAAGGAATAAAGGAAGTACTGTCTCTGGAGAGAGTTACCAGACTAGACAGGAGATTTCAGGGAAGAAAACTTGTCCTGATTTTGGTTAGGATAACGTCTTTTTAATTGTAACTTTCATGAATTGCGTCATTGGAGAGGTCTTAGAACATTATGCATTTGGACAGAAACCATCAGTGCTGTTCTGTAATGATGTCTTTTGAACTAGTTACAGTGTATTTCTCATTTGCAAGACTGTTCCTGTTTTTGTCTACAACTTTTCATAAGAACATTACTTTATTATGTTTGCTTAAGCTGTGTGGGAGGAGATTGCTGAGCTACAACTTTTGCTAGGTTTGATTTCACTTTTACCAACTGGTGCAGTGGATCGTTAGGTTATTATAAGAAAACTTACTGTTTTTTTCTTTCTTTTGATCAGTACATCAGTCAGTTTTGTGGGATTGATTTGAGGGTTTGTATCGAGGGTTTCGCTGGGGTTGTTTTTTGTTTTGATTCATTGCTTTGGTTTTTTAATTATCTAGGCCACTATCAGCTATTCCTGCACTGAAATAGTACACAAGGAACTGTAATACTCATTTCAGGAATGCACTCTACTGAATTACTTTTTAATGTTGAAAATGACAGACAACTCCAGAACAGAATTTTTATCACCTTTGTTTTGCACTAGTAATTGAGATAGTCGTGGAGTTGAGTGAAATAAATGAATAAATTGATGTAAATATCCAGGTAATAGAAATATGAAAAAGCCACTCACTAGCAGAGAAAAATTAAAGCCGGGTATTCCTTGGTGTGTTGATGTCTACTATCATTCCAATGCCACTGCAGTAACATCTTTAGTGGGATGTTCTGTAGGCTCGTCATAGACAAGGAATGTGCATTGTCAAAAGAAAAAGAGATAAGGTAAGGTTTCTTTTATAGCACTCTAAATAGTACAAATTATGAAGATTTTTTTCTTGTTCTTGTTTCTGAATGTCGTATATAGAAATGAAGTTGAAAACTTTCAAATTAATTCAGATTAAAGCTCTCAAAAGTAAAAATCAGCTTGGTATTTCAGTGAAAACTTAGGTTTTAATATAGAAGTAAATATTTGCTTTTTCTAATCCAGTGTAATCTAATTGCAGTTGATGAGTAAAGAGTCTCCAGTCTCTGTTGGAAATGATGCTTACGTTGACCTTGATCGGCAGGTATCTAAGACTAGATGTTTCTTTTCTTTCAATCATAGTGGATCAGCGGCCATAATAAGAACTCCATCTTTTTTTTTTTTTTTCTTTAATCATTAAAGGGTGTTGTGGAAAAGTAAAATAAGAAGCAAAGAACTAAATCTCAGTACTTCAAGCCCTTTAGCTTTGTTAATTGAGTTTGCTTCTACTGTGTATTTAAAGGATATGGAAAAGTTGATTTGACAAACCAGTCTAGCTGTATGACATAATAGTGCAAAACTGCAGATTGGTACAAATCTTTAGGCATGGAGAAAGAAAGATAAAAAAGATGTACTATTTGAATAAATGTTTTTATCTGAGTTCCTATTTCCAAAGTTTAAAAAAAAAACAAGAACAACTGCTTCTATGGGAATCTTGGAATTGCTGCAAAACAGAAGAGAAGTTTTCAAATGCAATCATTCCCAGTCTGATATATTTAAAAAATACCCAAACCAAATTTTTTTTACTAGTTTATCCGCAAGCTAACACTGTCCTCCTTCCTCAGATTTTTTTCTAATTGAGAAGAGTAGTACAGTGGTGCTCACTGTATTCATCCATTATGCTTTCTCTGCAGAAATATGTAAATTCTTGCAGATGAAGTTAATTTATTGTATGCAAACAAGCCAATAAGAAATAAACTAGCAAATGCAAGGTATGATGATGCTCTTTGAGAAAGCTCATTTAAACTCCATAATATATAATAGTACATATATATCTGTATCTATATACATAACATGCATGAACCTGTTTTATCAGACCAGTTTTCTTGTAGCTATGTTTTCTATGTTATCTTAACTGCATTCATTTGCAAACAAGTGAGACATATATCTTTAAACATTCAGCCTTTGAAGGGAAGTATTGGAATATTTCCCACTGCTTATAAGGTTTGGTGCCCTTTTTTAAAAGGTAGGCTTCTCTATCACATACTATTTTTATTCCTGTTGTGCACTAGAAATAGCTTCCAGACACTAGAAATATTTTACCCTAATTGTCCATTCCCTGTATTCCACCTTCCAGTCCTTTCTGTATTTCAAATGTAGATTGAAAATTGAAATTACGCACTCTTTGCGTCTGTAAAGAAAAGTGGTATTGACAGTTTTTTTTGGTGTAGAGATTTGGTGAGTTCTTCAGACCCAATTTCTTCTGAAGTTTTTTACTCAATTTATAGATTAGATGTGATATTTCTAATGTAAAAGCAAATGTTACTTTAGGTATATTTACTTTTTACTGGTACACAAGCTAAACAGTATTCACATCTGTTTCTTTTTTTTCTTTATATGAACAGAATTGCTCAGTTTTCAAAAATTTAATGTATTACCTCAATGTAAAAATAATTTTACAGTATGTAGTTCAGAATATTTTTCAATGGATCATGTAGGGTGATGAAAATGTAAAGATTTCTTGTTTATAATAGCTGAAGAAAACTACAGAAGAATTAAATGAAGCACTTGCAACAAAAGAAGAAATTGCCCAGAGATGTCATGAGTTAGATATGCAGGTAAGTTTGCTATACAGAGTCTGTATAAATTTTGAAGTGGAGAAAAGTTGTATGAACTTTTAGGTGGCTGAAAATAAGTACTAGCATAATTTTTATATAATATAATTTTTATGAAACATAATTTTTATAAGGGGGATGAAAATGTCACAGTAATTGTTTTGTTTTCACTTGTGCTAGGAGAATGAATATCATTGTTTTCTTATCTTGTTGCCATGTTGTCAGTATTGTGATTCATAATAGCAAAACTTTTCATTCAGTTAAGAAGGGTTTGAGCTGTGTGGTAAAACTTTTGCCATGGAGAGCTAATACAAGTTCTGCTGTTGTAACAGTTCCAGCTAATCGTTAAATCCCAGTCAGAAGTTGCTATAGACCATTAAATGTGTATGGGTTTAACTAAGTCTTAAGTAAAAGTAAGTCTGTAAGTAAATCGATACTCATCTGGAAGACATGAGGAGTGTGAAGGGGGACCCTGAACGGCATTGCTATTGCAACCCTACTTTGAAATATTAATTCACGTGTTTTGTAGTTCAGTGACTGTTGGAATTAATAAAGCTGGTCTTTGTTTGTTGTGGTTAATATATGAACCCATGTTTCAGGTCTTGGAGCACTTTGGGTTCTTTCCGCTACTGCCTGTTTTCCCAGTGTTAGTGGAAAGTGGGCTATCTTCAGGGCTGTGTTCCTGTTTCAGGCCTGCTTGCAGATGGCCTTTACTGTGAAGAGCTAGTTTTATTTGTTTCTAGGGAAAAGATGCAGATTTTATTATAATGAAGTTACCTGCTGACATAACAGACTTTTTCTTTAAGTGTTTGTGTGAAATACGTAAAAGAGTGTGTTTCCTAAGTTGTAACTCTGCTCCTAATGTTGCAATATGTTGGTTACTTCACGCAGTAATTGAATACCTGTTCAATTATACAATATATTCTTTTGAAATGTGATTAGTGAAGCCTGCATGTTTCTGTTTGTGGCATCTGTTGATACTTCATTATGAACATGAAAAAATACTGCTCTCTGTACCTGGGTAGGTTAATTTTCCTCTTCATACTTTTATTACAACAGGTTGCAGCCCTCCAAGAGGAGAAGAGCAGCCTGCTTGCCGAGAACCAGATTTTGATGGAACGTTTAAATCAGTCTGATTCCATTGAAGATCCCAACAGTCCTGCAGGTCGTAGACACCTGCAGCTGCAGACACAACTAGAACAGCTCCAAGAGGAAACATTCAGGTAGAAAAGCTACACTTGGTTAGGTTGGTTGTTTGTAGCTGGCAGTAGCGGTGACTTAGACATTTCTGCTTCTGCTGCAAATGTGAATTAGTATAATGGATGGTGTGTAGCCACAGTAGTACAGTTTTTAAAGTGATGTATACATTATAATTTCACTCATTACAAGGTGCAGCATTTAAAAAATTACAGATTCTTAATGCTGAAGTGTTTTATATGTCACTCTGCTGTGAGTTACTTTGAATTGTTTGTGTGCAGTCATTTCACCCATGTTTAGCAAAGTCAGTGAGAAGGAAAAGTAGCATGCTTTCCTTTATGCAAATTATTCTGCTTGTATTTTTAAGGTCTAGTAATTCCTAGATGAAAGTTAGCTACAGGGTGTACTGCTTGTGGCATTATCAACATAGGTAGATATGTCCTTACCTGAATTTGAAAACAAATTTCAGAGATGATGAAAGATAGAGATTATCCATCTATGAGTTCTGCACTTTATTTACATTTCCCCCATAAGTGAAAATACAGTTCCTCTTTAAACATCCTTACTGGTCCTCTTGACTGTTCCTTTCAGGCTGTGTAAGCCTGATGCTGATGAAAGCTGGTTCACTTCACGATAACCTTTTTGTTCTCTTTCCCTTACTTTCCTTCTCCTTTGTGGTGAAATTTGAGTGAAATTGTAGTATTTCTTTACACTGCCAGCTTTTCTTTTGTTATCTTCTTCTCATTGCTTTTTTCCAATTCTTACAATATATGCCTTGTTACTTTCCTTTTTTTTTCTGTTTTGCCTTTTTTCCAATTCCTCATGCTAAACCTTTCCTGCTTATTCTGACATATCATCTCCCATCAGTTCCTTGAAAAACATTCCATGTTTCTCTTTCTTTAGTGCCTGGATTTTTTTCTTTTTATACATCTACCATGTAAAGGAATAAATAATGGGGTACCGCTTTGTATCTCTTCTGATTCATCTCCATGCTCTGCAGTGATTCCTGCCTGAATCTGGTATCAATTACTGTTCAAACAGATTTTGTCCCCATATTCAATATCTGCCCTGTCTGTTACTGTAGTTTCAGGTTCTGAAGGTCATTCTAAACTGTTTTCGTATGTGAGACTCATTCCTGGTCTCCTTTACCTCCTTCCCCTGTTTCCATATTATGTAGTTTCTGATGGCAATTTGTATGTGTTGCTTCCAGCTCTACCTGATCAAGCAGAACATTTGTACACCTTAAGTGGTGCCTTGTGCGGTATACCACTTTTCCTCCTACTCTTGCCTCTGTGCTTTGACTCTTTTTGTCTGTTATGATTCAAATCTTTGTTGTTTCTCGTGTGGATGACTCAAAGTTTTTCTCTTGTCTCCATCCTTGTAGATTGTTTTTGGACTCCTTGAATTTTTTTTTTCCTCATGCTCTTATCTCCTAACCTGGGTTGTTTTTGTTTTAATTTCAGAGCGAAATCACAGTAGGACTTTCTGGTTTGGGTTGTGTCCTCTTCTATTCATTCAAAATACATTGAAAATTTTCTATTACTTACTCCCTTTGTTCACTGCCAGGTTAACAGAGCTTTGGCTATGCATAGTGTTTGCAAGCAGTTCAGCATCTTTGGTCAGAGTTCTTTACTTGTTAACTAAATAGCCTGGTTCTCCAATGTACTGAGCATGCACAGGTTCTTTATGAGTAAATAAATAAAGCCACTTCAGTGACAGGTCTATGACATTTATAACATCTTACAATCAGGTCAATGTTGTTGGAGGTAGATGAGTTGTACAGCTGAACAGAATAGAATAAAGATATCTCATTCAAACTGTGGGTGTCTGACTAAAAATTCTCCTTAAGCTTCCCTTGTGTTAAACTACTGTTACAGAAGGAAATCTCAGGTTTTGTTTTTACAGGAACATATGTTACCTTGTGAATTTTCAAATAGAAAAACTGATATTAAATTGGGAGCATTGATAAAGTCAATTTGCTTTTACATTTTGAGTAAGCACATTGTGGTTTTTTCCTTCATTGCAGCAGGAGGCTATTTTGTGAGTTCTTAGAGGGGATGATGGGGAAAGGAATTGTGGCTCAGGATGAGAAATTATTTCTTGGGTTTCTTTTCATTCTTACAGATTAGAAGCTGCAAAAGATGACTATCGAATACGCTGTGAAGAACTAGAAAAGGAAATTGCAGAATTGAGACAACAAACAGAAGAGCTTACTACACTGGCAGAGGAGGCTCAGTCTTTGAAGGATGAGATAGATGTACTCAGGTAAATTTTGTTCCATTAACTCTTTTTTAACTACTACCTTTTAATCTGTATAATTTGTGTACTTAATCTACATTATCTTTTGTGTAAGTAATTTAATATTAAACACTTTAAATGCCAAGATTCTTTAGATCCTCCAGTTTAGGTACACAGATGGACGCACAATTCAGCTTGAGTGAAATAGTTGCTTGTTTTGTACCTAATCAATAACTACTAGTAAACTTAGTAATTCTATGCAAATTCATGGTTATAACAGGGCACTCACTGGTCTCTTTGAGTATGCAGTATTCACCTTCATCATGCCTCAGGCATCTGTTCTCATCAGAAAACTAGGCTGTTTCCTTTGCTGGGTTTGCATTGTTTGGACTTTGGGTGGTGCTTTTGGTTTATCATGTAATACTAGTGTGAACAACATCTGTTGCAGCTCTCGTTCCCACTGGATTTTAGCAATGAAAGTTGTCATGATTTGATGATAATAGGGGTTTGTAGAGTCGAACAGCCGCTTTTGCTATGGAGCATATTCCTTCAGTATTGGCATCTCTTGCCATGGGTTATTCAGAGCAGTTACTCATTCTCTCCAGCAAAACTTATTTAATACTGCTATCCCTGATTCACCATCAGCCTTCTACCAAAGCTGTCTGTCTTCATCCTTTCTGTCGTTAATATAAGGAATGAACCCATCAGGCTGCATAAACTCTGTGGGTGGCATGGGTTCAAAGAGCAATTCCTTGTCCCAAGAGAGAGGCCCTGCACCTCACTGAGGATTATACAGAGCTAGCTTGCCATAAACCGATGCATTAATTCAGTGGGAGATTCCCTGGATTTCAGAAGAAATTGGGTCTATAATTGGTTGATTCTAAGATGAAACTGGGAACAGTAATAGTAGCAGAAATCTTTGGGCAAGGTGAGTTCCATTGTAATCTTGCGAGTGCAGCAGGTGGATTGATAAAACTCTGAAAAGCTGAAGCCTGGTGTTTCTTTTTCTTGTGTCCTTCTTTTTTTTAGAAGGAATCAAGTTTCAAAACTGTTATGGTTCTTCTATATCACCAAGTACAATTTGTCTAGCAGAGAGATCTTTATGATTTTAGTCCTGGTTATCATTAAAATGAACTGAATGGCAGAAACTTTTCTTCTTTACCCTTGAAAAATTTAGGACAGAAGATAATTTGGAATTGAAAGGAAATGAGTGGGAGTGAGGTTGTTTTAGCTATTATTTTAAGGTTGGAAGCAGATAAGAAGGTTGTGTTAGAAAGAGGGATAGGATCTAAAAGAAACTTCAGCAGCGGCTCTTAGAGTTGACAAATAGTTATGGGAAGAAAACAGACAAAGTGAAAACATCAGTAGTAGGAGGATATGATTGCTTTATTGTTCTTCCCATGAATGTCTTCTGCATTAAGAAAAAACTGTAAAGAAGCATTTTAAATTCTGTTAGTTTTATTAGTTTTTGGAGTTCAAATTTGATACAAATCTGTCCCTTCAGGCATTCATCTGATAAAGTAGCCAAGTTAGAAAGCCAGGTAGAGTCATACAAAAAGAAATTGGAGGACCTGGGTGATTTACGGCGGCAAGTGAAGCTTTTAGAAGAGAAGAATACAATGTACATGCAAAATACCGTGAGCCTGGAGGAAGAACTAAGGAAGGCCAACGCAGCACGCAGTCAGCTGGAAACATACAAGAGACAGGTGAGGACAGGCATCATCAATGCTGTAGTATTCTCTGTTGTTCAGCACTTTGTCTTCATAACATGGCTAATACCTCAAAGTAAAAAAAAGCTGTGAAAAAAACAACTCCTGTTTAAAAGACTTCCATGTTTTATAGGTACTTGCTACCTTTGTCCTTTCCTGCAGCTCTTGTCATTGCTACAAGTTTGTTATTTTGTCAAAAAGCAGTATTTCTTGCATTTAAAAACTCAGCAGATGTAAAGTTGGGTTTTTGGGTTTTTTTAATAAAATTAATCCAAATTTGTATTCAGTAGTGGGGCTTGAATTAGAGGCTGTTCTTTCAAAAAAAGTATCAGTTTTTCACTTACAATTTTCCAGCAGCGAGGAACACAGCACAGCTAAGGTAAGTTGTTCCTGTGGTTAAATAACTCCTTTTTTTAAGGTTCTAGTTTCTCTGATACATCTGAATTTTTCCACTTAAGAAGACAGGAGGACACGTTATCCTTGTTGTTCATGTGCACTAGTGGAATACAAAATGTGTCAGCAGCACACTCTGTGGAGTGAAAGGCACCTATTTATCCTCCTGCTTATCCAAGTGCCATGTGATGCTGTTTCTGTAAAGGTGTGCAACATATGCTTAATCTTGTTTCTGCTTCTGTCCTTCAGGGACACTATATCATTCTGGTATTCTTGTTACAGGGCTAGACAGAGCATGGTTTATTAAAGCAGTAGTGCCTTCTCTGTATTTGTGACTGATCAAACAGTCACAGCACAGTTTACCATAGAATAAAGTATAGAAACAAGCACTAAACAATACTGAAAGCCCAGGAGCAATGTGTCTCCCTAAGATTTGACAGATTTTTCCCCTGTGCTTGGTGATCTCAGTGTTTAAAACAAATTATTTCAGCCTATGTGAGCTAATTTTAAATACAGCCCAAATGATTTTACTGGAAAAAAAAAAGAACTTGGACAAGAAAAATTGTCCAAGGAGGCAAAGAGAAATGTAAATGTAGAAAGGAATAGCCTTCCACACATGAGTAGTATCAAGTTTACTGGCAACCCAATATTTCACTCTGTTAAACAGCTGAACATGTGGTACTGTTGTGTAACCTCAGTGTCTGCATTTGATTATTCTTATTTCACCTACCAAAAGGATTTTGGAAGGGCCAGTCCCATCAGTTGTGCTGCTGAAGTACTCCTTTTCTTCAGTATATTTTACACGTAGGTTTTCCTGTATGAGGAGCTTTTGTGTGGTGCAAAACTGTTTCCTGACTGAGACTGGAAGAAGCCTCAGGTGTCCTGTGGCAGATGTGTTTTTCTTCACCTAACTATGGTGTCTCAAAATGAACACTCTGTGTTTTGTCTTCAGTGTCTGTAAGACTGGGCTCCTTTTGAAACGTGCCTGTGACTCATAAATCACAAAATTATTTTTCTGGGAATTCTAAATTGTGCTATCAGAAGTAAGCTGGATATAAGGCCTGTGATATTATGTCACTGCTGAGTTCTAGTGTGTTCCTGTAATGGAATATGTCTTGTCTGGTGTTTGAAAGATCCAACCTGATTCATGAGGACGCCATTAGAGAGTTATTTCTTTGGCTTATAATCATTGTGCATTGCAGATCAACATGGTTCATTCAAATTTCTATAGTAATCTGCAAGGAAATTGCATCTTCACTGCATAGAGCAGTCCCTGTGAGGTGAGGTTGAGTGGTACTGTTTTGTTTTCACTCTTCTGAGAGCAAGCACAAGCCTTTTCTAAGAAACTTTATTTCGGCATAAAGAATTGAAATGTAAAGACTGCGGTTTTTGGTGTTTTTTTGTAATTTTAATTCAGCCCCTTTGTGCATGTGCATTCTGATGCATATTTAACGGTATGTCTTGCTTTTATTTGTTGCAAGATTCCTGCTTTTCTCATTCCACATACAGATGACGCTTAGTGAATGTGATAGCAGTCATTTTTTTTAATCTTCTGCATTACCATGACACCGTATGTTTTTCTATACACTCACAAATCCTAATTCAAGACAAATTTATTTCCTGCAGTGTTTTTCTACATACCATAACCTTAGCGTGATTGGTTACAAACATAGATGCATTTTTTTCCATTTGAAGTGAAAACACTAGTATTCTGCAAGTGGTGGCACTGTCACTGGTGAAGGCCTGCAGTTGTTTGTTATACCTGCAGTTATTCTGATAGCCTTAGTGATAAATGTCACATCTGAAAAATGAAATATTTTCATATCTGACATGTTAATTTCTTTAATCTCAGAAAACACAGGCCTGTGCTGGTTTTGCAGCCTTTAATTTAGGAAAAACAGCAGCAAAGTCCTTCTCTAAGACTTAGGACCATGCATATTTTAGGCCTTGTAGTTATTTTGCTATAGTTGTGGACATTGAAAATAAAAGGCCATTAGAACCACTGGGGAATCTTGATGTAGGTATGGCTATTGCTTTAATCATTTCCTTTGTAATCTAAAAGCCATGAAAAAGCCTTCTTATAAACTATTTCAGAAGAAGCTGTAGGTCTTTAGCTGAGTCTTCATTCAGCTTTTGTTTTTGCAGGTCAGTCTTTATTTAGCTTATTTGCTCTCATGCTCTCTGCATTATGAGCTTTACTAGTGTTCTGGGAATGAATCTTTGCTAGTAAAGGCTGAAAGTTTTGAAAAGGGAAGACTTCACTGATTTACCTTCTGTTGTGCTTGGCTTTCACATTTCTGCTCACTTAATTTTAAGAGTTCTTTGCTGATCTGTAGCTGAAAGCATACATGTGGCAGTGTTTCTCACTGAAATAAAGAAAACTGTTTGGAGCCTGTAGCTGAATCTTTGTTAGTTTATTAAAAATTATAAGGACATCTCAGGTTAGGGAATATTACCTGGCTGCATAAACTAGTAGCTGAATTCTGAGTAAGGCTTATGAAGTAAAGTAAACAAAAGACTGGCTTTCCTCGGAGTCTTTTCTTTTTATTAGGCTTTTCAGAATGCAGAAAGATTTTTTCTGCTGTTCCTAATCTTTTTGATCCCTAGAACTACATGGATTTTTTTCTGCAAACCTTGCTTGAGTTTAAATTCTTGTTTTAGATGTAGTGAAAATACTTCACATTTTTTCTCTTTTGCTTGCACTAAGATATAATATTTGAATGCTTTTTATTTTGATGAAACACCGAACAACTGATGAAAGAAGTTTTTAGTATGTCCTATAAGTAACTATTTCACTTGTTTTACAACATAACTTGTGGTGCATTGTAATTGGCTACTTTGTCTTGTGTATTTTGTTTTAACATTTGTAGACACATTATTGATTCTTGTTCTCACAGGCAGTTGAACTACAAAACAGGTTATCTGAAGAATCCAAGAAAGCTGATAAATTAGATTATGAATGCAAACGTCTGAAAGAAAAAGTAGACAGCCTCCAAAAAGAAAAAGATGTAAGTGCCAAGGTGTTATTTTTTTGTTAGTAACAATAGCAACTTTGTATCATTTATAACACAGAGATGTGGTAATTAGAGTTAGTCGTCTTTTTAAATAAGGAAGTCTTTTTTCCTCGAAAATTTTCTAATGTTTGTGTACAAGATAGTTTTTGAACTTAAGAATTGTACAGCATGGAATAAAGTGACTGTACAAAATCATATGCAACCCATTTTTAAGAGGAAAAGCCTTTATATTTGGCATCTGAAGTTGTTTCCTGACCATTTACCATGAGAAAGTTAATAAATACCCAGGGTAAATATTATGTATTCTGAAAATTTACAGAATAATTATTTACAACAGGGTTTCTGCAGTATCATCCTAGAACTAAATTCCTGTTGCTTTTTCCCCCTATGACATTCTTTGGGGTACCATCAGCATGGTTCTCTTTGTGGAGTCATCACTAATATAGGAAGAGTCTTAGTAGTTGTGTAGAGGGAAATGTCCTTTGTGGCAATCTCACCTTTTATGACCGCTCCTTGTTGACCTATCTTGTGCTGCCTATGTGGAACACACAGGGTAGATACGAATTTATCGCCTTCTTCTTGTGTCATTTGCTGCTAGTGATTCTGTGATTAATTGCTTTGTACTCTCTTGCTGAGACTGATCCTTCCGACGTCTCTTACACGCTGTTGTTTCTCAATAGTTGATTTCAGCTTGTTTCTTATCAATCTATATGCAGGTGGTTCAAACTACCTAAAATCAATGTCAGCAATTGCAGCTAGCTGTTTCTTAGGCATGTTTTAATTAAAAGTCTATTGATCCAACTATCAGAAACTCTGCAAGCTTTTTCCTCAATAGTCATATTTCATGTCCAGTTATTTCCAGATTTCCAAACCCAGCACTTAAATATAATTTGAACTGAAAGTTTTCAGTTATTTTATGTTCATAGGCCATTGATCCCATTATTTATTAAATTTTCAAGCTCTGATAGACACTTGACCTTCACATCACTTCCATCTGCCCTTCAAATCAGGCTGGAATGCTCATAATAGCTGTGTTGGTATTGTGCTTTGGCCTTTCTTTTCTGCTTTTTATTTTTAAATTATTTTTTTAAATTCTTTTATGTTGAACAGTGGTGAAGTTGTTTCAGTGGCTTATCCATGGCTCAGCGGACCATTTCATCTTGCACAAAGGATCTGAATTGCAGGCCATTGTTATGTAGTTTTATGATTTACCCCTAACAAATAGCTTTTTTTTGAGCTAGATGTTGTTCTTAATTACATTCTTTTGAATGGATATGCACCTGTGGGAAGTAAATTACAGCTAAAATTCCTTCATCAGGAGAATTTAGTGATTCACTGTATTACCTACTCTTTCTGTTCTCTGTTGTCAATATGTATCAGTAAAGTAGCCCACCACAGGCTACAAACTAGGTAGGGGTGTCTTGTCAGCTATATTTTGGAAATAGTTACTGAAATTGATTATATTCTTTTCGTTATGTTCTGGTAAAGCATGGTAGTGTTTGATATCTTCATCAAAGTAGCTGGGAATTTTACCTCTGTGTTATAAGTACTATGATAATTATTGAGCTGCTTGTACCAGTGAAGCCCTAGAACTTTTTCTAGTCACTAAAATATTCTGGCATTTGGCAATCAACTGTTAGTAAAATTAAATGCTGTCAGCCAACACAACTCCATGCCTATACAGAGGCAAGGTCTATCTTGGACCATTTGGTAATACTGAACATGTCTGATTTTGGAGCAAACTACAACTTGAATCATTACATCGTAGCAAATTCTTTCATTTTATTGACTCTTGGCAACCTTCTGGACAAAAACTTGGTGTTACCTGTAGATTCTCATTTTTTCACCAGAAGGGTAGTTGTGCCACATTGAAAGAGTATTTACCTGATGCTACATCTGTCTGGATCCCAAGGTGATCCAGTCCTGTTCTTCAGTTCTCTTTGGACTGAGTCTTAAGCAATGAGTTTTCTTTCATAGCCAAGATGCTGGTGAATGACAAGGACAGCTGACACACAGAACGAATGTGATATGGAAATGTTGCTCACACTTTCAGTGGTGAAAGACAAACAAAATGAAGTAAAATCAGTTTGTTATGTTGACTCTGTACATACCTGTTCGTTTTTCCACTCCTGGCTGAATCTTTGATTCATGGTGAGGGAAAAATCTGTGGTCTCTCAACTGTCTTCCATTTCCCTTGGAATCAACCCCAGTGAAAGGAAAACAGCTGAGTGTCCCCGTGGATACTATTTACTACCTGGTACCAGAGCGTTATACTTGGTCACTAATTTCTTGATTTTGTAAGCTTATACCCCTGCTATTTTTAGTCCAATCAGATCAGCAACCCTTTTCTGAAAAAAAAAAAAAAACAAACCCAAACCACTGTTCCTGTGGAATATATAATACTTACATTTATTCTGTTGTGGAATAGACTGATACCTTAATTTGAAAGTAATTTCTAGAGTTACATTAAATAATTTTTAAAATTTTGAAGGCTGTTAGAGATGGATTTAGACTGCCAAGACTGATATTCATTCTCTTTCCAATTATTATTCAGAGATTAAGAACAGAAAGGGATTCTTTGAAAGAAACTATTGAAGAACTTAGATGTGTACAAGCTCAGGAGGGTCAACTCTCCACTACAGGTAAAGGACAAATAAGGAGATTAAATGCCTCTTTTCTAAAGTGTACACGAGTTTTCTATAGAGTGTTGAATGTGGTTTTGTTTAGCACAGAATAAATTTAAGCTCTTCTAAAATCAGCAGTGGAAAACTTCAAATATTCATAGCTTTATAAGCAAGCAAAAGCTTTGACTGTTATTTGAGTCAATCATAAATTTTAGTCTCCTCTCCAGTGGGATATTTTTGTAATGTATATCTGATTTCTATATAGTTACATAGTTTTCTTTAGAGACGTATTTTCTCCTGATGTTTCCTGTGTTATAGTTCATTTGTATGTGCAATTTTGTGTACTTTGTAGTTCTTAGATAAGATAATGAGCAGGAAATAAACTGCAACATTATTTCTTCAGAATGCATTGAATCAGATGTAATGGACCAAATGAAAGAAAGACCAAATGAAATGGTGTTTGTCTGTCAGTCTTGCTGTAGCCTGACTTTGTGTCATTTTACATTGTCTAGCAGTAGTGTGAAGCTTCTAGAACAATGTCTACTTCTTGTCATGTGAAAAAGTCAGTGGTATGCTTTTCCTTACTCAGGATTGATGCCTCTGGGAAGACAAGAGCCTTCAGACAGTTTAGCAGCAGAAATCATTACTCCTGAAATAAAGTAAGCTAATGTATGCTTTGTTTTACTAACCTCTACAATGGTCAACGGCAAGTTGAACATTAGTTGGCAGTGCCCTGGCCGCCAGGAGGGCCAACTGTGTCCTTGTGGGGCACCAGCCAGGCAAGGGAGGGGATTGTCCTGCTCTGCTGTGCACTGGAGCAGAATCCTGTGAGCAGTTTTGGGTGCCACAATATGAGAAAGACATGAAGCTGTTAGCATCCTAAGGAGGGCCACAAACATGGTGAAGAGCCTTGAGGGGAAGCTCTGTGATAAGTAGCTGAGGTCACTTGATCAGTTCAGCCTGGAGAGGAGACTGAGCAGAGATTTTATCCTTCCTCATGGTATGAAGAGGAGAGGCAAACACTTGTCTCTTCTCTGTTGTGACCAGTGACAGGGCCCAAGGGAATGGTCTGAATTTGTGTCAGGAAGGTTGAGCTTGGATATTAGAAAAAGGTACTTGTTGCCCTGTTCTGATTGCTTGTAGCTTGATGATGGTACCAAAAGAGTTGAGTATTTATGAGTAATAATTAAGGGGAAGGCCACAAGGCAGATATTCTGGTGGGTGTGTTATAGACCACTTGTCTGGGATACTATGCTATAAGGGGCTGGGAGATGTCTTGAGATTGCTGGCCCTTCTTCTTATGGAGGACTTCAACTTACCAGATGGCTGCTGCAAATGCAGGACAGCAGAAAGGGATCAGTCTAGAAGGTTCTTCAACTGTGCGGAAGATAACTTTCTAACATAGCTGCTGAGCAAGCCAACCAGGGAAGATGTGGACTCACTGTTTGTGAGCAGGAAAGTACTGATAGATGATGTGATGATCAGAAGCCATCTTGGGCACAGCAACCACTGAATGAGAGAGTTTTTGATTAACAGAGAATTAAGGAGAGAGGCCAGCAGAACCTCCACTTTGGACTTCTGTAGGGCAGACTTTGACCCGTTCACAGGCCTGGTTGACAGAGTTGCTTGGAAGTCAGTCCTGAAGGGCAAAGGAGTCTGGGAGGGCAAGAAGGAACTGTTAAGGTGCAGGAGCAGGCTGTCTCCATATGCCAGATGGTGAGCCATCAGGAAGAATGGCTTGACTGCACAGAGAGCTTTGGCCAGAACTCAGGATAAAAAAGATTGTATTGTGTTTGGAAGAAGGGGCAAAGCCACTCAGGAGGACTACAGAGGTGTTGTGTTGTTAATGCAGGGAGAAAATTAAATGGGCCAAAGCCCAACTAGATCTTATTCTGGCTACTGCCAATAAAAGACAATTAAAAAATGTTTCTATAAATGCATTCACAGTTAAATGAAGGTTAAGGAGAATCTCAACCCCTTATTGATTGCAAGGAGAACCATACCAGTAAAGGATAAGGAGAAGGTTGATCTACTCAAAGCCTTCATTGCCACAGTCTTTGATAGTGACACCTCTGATCTGGACGACAGATGCAAGAAACTGAATCAAGTCACTGCAGTAGAGGAGGAAACAGCTACGCTGTGCCTGCTTACAGCAATGCTACCTGCTATATCACTTAGACAGCCCCAAGTGCATGGGGGTGGGTGGGATGCCCTGAAGGGTACTGAGGGAGTAGCTGCAGATAGGTGTTGCAAAATTCACTCTGAAACAGTTTTTGATTGTGAAATGAGTCATCTCGACTTGCTACTGTAGCAAGTAGTAGCCTGAAAGAACTAAAAGTCTAGCTGAGTGGGCAGAGAGTGAGTGACTCTGCCTGAATGCTTCAACTTTTTTTAAAGAGTCTGGGGCAACCCCCCAGCTCCTGCCCCACCATTCTGTTTTCCAGCTGCAGGAAGAGAGTAGCAATTTTGGGCACAGATAGATATGGAATACAATAACATTCTGGGTTACTCAGGACAGTGTTGATCTGCTGGAGGGTCGAAAGGCTCAGAGAGGAATCTGAACAGGTTGCGTCAGTGGACAGAGGACAATTGTATGAAGTTCAGCTTGGCCAAGGTCCTGCCCTTGTATCACGACAACCTGTACAGTGCTGCAGGCTTGGAGAAGAGTAGATGAAAAGATGCACAGTGGGAAGTAATTGTAGAGTCATAGAATAAAGATCATCTTGTTCTGCCTACTGTGCCATGGGCAAGGACACCTTCCAGTAGATCAGGTTGCTCAAATCTCCATCCAGCCTAGACTGGCGTGAATCAGCAATAGAATGGCCAGCAGGATCAGGGCAGTGCCAATTACGGGATTGTCCTCCTGTAATTGGCACTGGTGAGGCCACCCCTCAAATCCTGTGTCCAGTTTTGCACCCTCTCACTACAAGAAGGACATTGAGGGGCTGGAATGTCTGGAGAAGGACAATAGATGTAGAGAGTTAAGTCCTTTGAGGAGCAGGAGGTTCTTTATCCTGGAGAAAAGCTCACCCCTGAGCCTCCTATCATTCTCTACAACTACCTGAAAGGAGGTTGTAATGAGGTGGGGGTTGGTCTTTCTGAAGCTGTGCTGGGGAGGTTTAGATTGGGTATTAGGAATCATTTCTTCACCAGGAGGAGTTACCAAGCAGTGAACCCAGGGAAGTGATTGAGTCATCATCCCTTGTGGTATTTAAAAGATGTGTCGATGTGGTGCTTAAGGGACATGCTTCTGTGGTGGACTTGGCAGTGCTGGGTTTATGTTGGATCTTGATGGTCTTAGGAGCCTTTTCAACCCAAATGGTTCTGTGATTCTTTTTAAAAAGACTAAGGGTTGAAATTACTTGCTCAGGTTCATGCAGTAGTTCAGTGCAGAGATTGTTCACACTTGGTATTAAGTTTTGCATTCTCTGTTCTCCCTATATATTTGTTGAGCTGTACTCTCAGATCTGTTGGGGGCACTGAGGTACTTTCCTTGTGTTCTATGTTCTGCAATTACAACTTAAATTTGGTTTATATTTGGGGGTTTGAAGATATGATTGTTGTTTCAGCATCTGCCTTAAAAGATTATATTTATGTTGTTATTTTACTTCCGATGGTAAACTGTTTTCTTTGTTATAGATATTGGTATTCTTTTTTTTTTTACAAAATTGTGTTGTATGTGTTCAGGGAGAAACTCATCCGCCTTCAGCATGAGAACAAGATGTTAAAATTGAACCAAGAAGGTTCTGACAATGAGAAGATTGCCTTGTTGCAGAGCCTTCTTGATGATGCAAACTTACGGAAGAATGAACTGGAGACAGAAAACAGGTAAGAAATTTTGTCCTTTGCTTCAGTTGACCTTCTACAGGCATCCCCAGGAGAAGAAAGACATGGATTTCTTGGAATCAGTCCTGTGAAAGGCCAGAAGGATGTGATCATAGGACTATAGAGTCCTCTGTATGAGCAAAGTCTGAGGGATAGAGACTGTATAGCCTGGAAAAGAAAAGGCTTAGGTTAGATCTTATCAATGTATCTCTTATCGAAGTGTATGATGGGAGGGTCTAAAGAAGGTGGAGATAGACTCTTGTCAGTAATACTCAGTAACATGGCAAGAGGGTGTGGGCAGAGTTTAAAACACATTATATTTCAACTGAATGTGAAAATATACATTTTTTTTTTTTACTGTGAGGGTTGCTGAACACTGGAGTATGTTGCCCAGCGAGGTTGTCTCCATCCTTGTAGGTATTTAAAACTCAGTAGGACATGTTCCTTGGCAGCCTTCTCTAGCTGACCCTACTGGATTGAACCAATCAGCCTGCAGATGTCTGTGAGACCAGACAAAGTGCATTAGAGCATGCCACTGTATTTGGCTGATAGTGATGTGAGGCTGCTTTGTATCTAAGCTTTGAATCTGTTATTTATCTAATCTTCCCCTGTCTTCCCCTTCAACTGGGGGAGGTGCCTGAAGCCTGAGAAAAGGTAAATACTGCATTCACCTTCAAGAAGGGCAATAAAAAGAGTGTGAGGAACTATTGAGATTGGTCAGCCACAGCTCGCTTTCTGGAAATTTCACAAAGCAAGTCCATCTGGAATCTATTTCCAGCTACATGAGAGATAGGAAAGTAATTAGCAAATGTCAACATGAATTTATTCAGAGTAAATCATGCTAACTAATCCAGTTCTCTTGACAAAGAGATGAATGCACATGTGAAGAAGGATGAGAGGATGATACTTAGCTTTAGCAAAGCCTTTGATAAAATGTCCCATGGTATCCTTATGTTCAGAATTCCTTGATATAAAATAAATAAGTGGACAGTTAAGTGAACAAAGAAAAAAATTGACTGGACAGTGATACTAAAGTAGTAGTATTGTCAGTGAAATTAAACCCAGCTGGCAACTGGGTTCCTCAGTCATCAGTACCAGTACCAGCACTGTTCATCACTTTTATTAACAACTTCACTGATGAAAGGGGCTACACTCTTAGCAAGTTTGAGAATGATACCACTTTGGGATGTCTTGAAAGGGAGAACTGTTATTCAGAGGAGCTCAACAGTCCAAAGAAATGAACTGATGAGACCCCTGTCCCTGGCTGTGCAGCAGCTCTGCTGCAAAAGCCCTGGGGTCCTAGTGGGTGGCAAAGGAGGTTGTGTTATCTGGGGACCTTGCAGTTGACTGTGATTTGGACAGTCCTCACTGAGGTGCAGGCTGTCAATCTGCAAATAGTGATTGTTCACCTCTCATCAGTACTTATGATATCACATCTGGGCAGAGCGCCTAATTTTGGATTCCACAGTACCAGAGAGATGTAGATGTATAGAAGTGCAGCAGAATACTGCTAAGGTGATAGATACTGTAATGTGTTATAGGTGGGATAGAACTAAGAATTGGGTTTGTCCATGCCAGAGGAAAGGTGACGTAGAGGAGAGTGCTGTCAACTGCATCTGCCTGATGGGAAGGTAGAAAGAAGACAGATTTGAGCTATTCTCAAGAGATTATTAGTAGAAGAACAAGAGGCAACAGACAAAATATGGAGTATGGGTCCAAGCTCTAGAAGAGAAGCCCAAAGAGACTGTTGGGCCTCTGTCCTTACACGTGTTCAAATCTGGATATGATTCCCAGCAATCTGCTGTAAATGCACCTGCTTTAAGGAGGAGGTTGGATCTAGGCAACCTGTGGACATCCTTCCAATGTACAGGTTTATGGGGTTCTGTAATGGTGTAGAAGCAGAAGCTAGTGGCTCTCACGCAGTAGAACTGACTGTTAAAAGTTCTTCTTTTGTATATGTAGAACTGATTTCTGCATGCATTTTTGTTGTCCATGAGGAATATGAGAATGTTTTGGATGAATGTCTGGATGTTATGATCTCTGGAACTGCTCTAAGCTCTAACTGCTGCTGTAATTTTCTTGTGTGTAATTTACAGTATTGCTTTTTTTTTTTTTTTTTGTGGAGATGATCTGAAACACTGGACACTAATAATCTGAGACTGCCTCTTGCAGTTTGTTTTTTTTCTGAAAAAGAAATAATGTCTCCTTCCTAGATTGGTAAATCAGAGGCTTCTGGAAGTACAGTCCCAGGTTGAAGAACTACAGAAATCTTTGCAGGATCAAGGTTCAAAAGCTGAAGATGTAAGTAGAAATGTACATCAAATTTACATTCAATTACTTACTGTTTTTGAAATTTCCACCTTTTTGGAAAAAAAAAGTAAAAGAATTATACAAACTGAGATTTCTAATAGTTTTGTGTGTTTACTTGTATGGTCTTACCAATAAATTGTGTTTCTCTAACTAGGATGTAAGACAGTTGTCTAGAATAAAAAATCATCCTATGTAGAGAAGATGTCATACATGTTTAATTTGAATAATTGTGTCTGTTGCAATAGAAAACTCAGCATTTAAATTGTTTAGTTAGAATAGAGAGCTTTGCAGGGAATTGAGGAAATGTTGATTCTCCATGAATAAAACATCTGAAGTTGTTTTGGGTTTAGTTTTCTTAATGAAAGTTAAGGCCTTTCCAGCCACTGAAAGGTCTGTAATTTTTCATGTAAATGTATCTCAGAATGAAAAAAGCCAGACAGACCAAAACTAAAAAAGAAGTGAAATAATTAGACCTTCAAAAGAATGCAGCATTTTCTGGTTTTGTATAGAGGGTTAACTTTATTTTAAATGCAAGAATACACATTGTAGCTGCGTTAGTGTGGAAAACAACTTTCAGTCTTCCACTCAAAAATTATGTATCTCCTGTATTTCAAAAAAGAAGCTCTAGAACTTTATTGAAAGCAGCGATTTGTTGGACTGTATGTGCATAGTGTTTGCTCACAATCTCAGTGATTGTTAACTATGTTGTTGCTAACTGGCAACAAACTGTAATGTGCTGCTTTCTATTTTTGTGGGCTTGTTTTAACTAATTTATGTAAAATAGTGGAAGTTTTTTTATTAGATGCTTATGAAATTTAAGAGTATGTTAAATTTAGTTTACCCTTTAAATTTTCAGAATAAACTATATGACTATTAAACACCTAGCTGAATTCCATCAAGATTATTTTCCTGAGTAACTTAGAATGTGTTTTAGAATGCACGTTAAAATAGGTCTGTTCTGAGATGTTCTTTGTTGTCTTGATTATTGGCCAAAATATTTTCAGGGTGAACAAGAATATGAAAGAATTATTCTCAGATACTGAGTATTGTAAATGATCTCTATCAAATTGTATTCAGCTTTATTTACTGCAATTTTAATTGTGTCCCTTTTGAGGCTCTGGTTGGGTCAGTAATTTAGGGTGTGACTGCACTCATGGCTTCTGTGTTGGTCTGACCGTAGCACTGATAATTCATAGGCACTGATCCCATGGCCTGTTTTGCTGAGTCCAATCTGTAGGATTTAATTTGCTCTTAAGGAAGTAAAAGAGTGAGTGTAGACTCAGGGAGATGTTGAAGATGCAAGAGCCTCTGACATTGTGGTTTCCTTGTGCAATCTCCCTTGTAAAGCACAGCAAACCTCAGAAGTTAAACACAGCTGCTCAAGAAGGTCGAAGTTGGGCTGAGATTACCTGAGTTATCTGTAGGATGGGCATACAAAAAGAGTAACTCTTCAGAAACGTAAGAAAAAGCAATAGGAGAGACACAGCATACAGTTCACCAGTACATAATTTTCAGCTCATTTCTTCTGTTTTTTGCTATTTTTCTGCAAAATTGCACTGAGATCTGTATTTTTATGAACTTGTACTGCAAATGTGCTCAATCCAGAAAATTAATTTTAATTCAGTCCTGAAATGTATGGTGACAGCTCAGGTTTGTTGGGGGATTTTTTTGTTTGTTTGGTTTGGTTTTTTAAGTTTTGTTTTGTTTTAAAGCTGAAGTTATTTTTAGACCTACCCAAAAAGATGTAGAGGTAGTGTCGTAACCCAGGCAAGTGTCCTTGTAGTGTTCCATGCTCTGTGCCAAGGTCTGCAAGGGCAAACAGTTTTGATTTTGTACTGAAGTGCCGTGGTAGGCAGCTGTGTGCCATTGGGCCTGTAATGGACACTGACACATTCTGTTGGGATGCATGATTAGTCCATTCTGAGTGTTACCTTGCTAGCCAGGCAAAGACCTCCTTTACCCCCATCTTTCAGACAACAGAATCAACTCAGATGTGTCTGGTATGTTCAGAATAGGTTTGGTTTTTTGTCCTCAAGAATGCAGTAGTCATTTGGGGCTACTCAACAGTTACCAGAACAGCTGTGACTACATCATTTGCATGTCTTATCACTGTCTTATATCATCCTTGTTCTCCTGTTCTCTGCCCTAATCCCTTCCTGTATAAACTCCTTGCCTTTAGTTACTTCTGCCCCACTTGTTAAATCCATCCCACGCCTAATTTTTTTTATAATGTAACATATGCAGTCTTGGCCTTACATGTTGTTAATGATAAACATCTCCCTAAAAGGTCCCCAGAATTCTGTTACCTCTTCAGTTAGCCTTGAAGTTCAGCCACTTTTTCATTTGGTGAGACACAGAACAAGTTACCCACGGAACCTGTGGATGCCCCATCCATGAAATATTCAAGGCAAGGTTGGACAGGGTGCTGAGTAACCTGATTTAGTTAAAGGTGTCTGTGCTTGTTGAAGGGGGTTGGACTATGTGACCTTTAAAAGTCCATTCCAACCCAAACCGTTCTATCATTATGCTCAGCATTCTTGAAAATCTACCATCCATCGTGGTATTGTTTTGTGACTTTCATCACCTCACAGTGTTATTGATCTCATCCAGCAGTCTTCTGACGTGATAACCTATAGTTTCCCACACCCTGCTAAGTTAGTTTAACCTCAGGGCAGAACCTAACCATCTGCCCCTAACTTTAACATGCAAAATGAAACCAAATTTTGCCCTGAAAAATGGGACAGACTTGTTCCTTTGGTTTGTTTAAGCATGAAAGGAACTTCAAGCAAAAAGACTTTTATTTCTGTAATGTTTAGGAGACTTATCTTCCTATGAGAGGACAACAACTATAGTCATTACATTTTGCATTTGTATGAGTCTTTAAACTCATTACTGATACTGCAAAAATCACAGAATTAATGTTTGCCCATTTTTAGACTGATCTCTGTGACTTTATTTGCCAAATACATACAGGATCTTTGGGTACCTAGAGTTTTAGTCTCCTTCTTAATCATGTGTCCTGGGTCAGTTAATGTGGGTAAACTCATTTCTGCTTCTTTTAATTGTTCGGGCTGTTTATCACAAGTAGTTTCTTGTGTGTGAAAACGTGATCTGTCTAGCTGGGAAAGACGTTACTCCCTCAAGAGTGCAGATACTAGGTAAATAATACATCAGTGGAATCAGTGTTGACTAGTATTTCTGTCTATTTCAAGATAAACCCAAGTGCAACAAAAGGATAAAAAAAAAAAAAAAAAAAGCTGAGTTCAATTTTGATTTTGTTACCTTAGGGAAATGGGCACTGCTTCCAGGTTTTTCCCTTTCTTGTCCCAGTCAGCCGGTAGTCCCCTAAATGGTCAGATACAAGTGATGGGGGAGAGTTCAAATGATTTGTGACTGATAAAGATGCATACAAATATTTTTTTGTTACGTAAAGGGTAGTGTTGCTGCAGCTGTTCACAGGACTGCAAAAAAGAAAAAAGCCAGTGGTCAAAACCTGCAGATCCTTAGCTGCTGCAAATTTCTGACTATGAAATCAGTAGAGCCATGTTGACTTGTTTTTATGGCTCCTCACCTTTCTTGTCATGCAATAAGAAAATCTCTTTTGTAGTAATGTAAAAACATGCCCCAGGAATGTGATCAAAGACAATATTTTGAAGACAATTTTTTTACTAAAAAGCTTTTTGAATGCACACAATTTTTCTGTTAACAAAGTGACTAAATCTTTGTAGAAAGAACATTGGAGAAAAAACAATGAAGTAATTTTCTTGATTATTTTATCTTATATTTTGGTGGTGTTGTGGACCATCAGTCACATGCTCACTCTCCCATGTGATTAATACTGTATAAACACAAACTAAAAAGGCAGTTGCGGATTTAAATATTCTGCATTTGTTTTTTATTTAATCAGTGTGGCTATAACACAATTCAGCATCACACCACAAAAACACCTGCATCTCTTAATTCTATTTGTAGCCATACAGACTGTCTATTTTCTTTGGTTTTGTTAGTTGTATGATTTTTGTTTTAAAATTACTTTCCTAAATAGCAATTGCTTTCCTTTGGAATTCTGATTTAAACACAATTATTTGTAAATGTGCGTCTTTATTCTTTTTATATTTTTCGGTTTAGTGACATGTTTTAGAAAATGTTACAAGATAAAAATTGCTCATGAGAACAGAGAAAGAAATTGCACATGCGTGAAAAATGCATAGCTTTAACTTTTTCTGTTCATGACTTTCTAAATAGTTTCTTCTGTTGGCTGCTGTTTTGCTTTATACTAATGTCATCTCTGTTTCTTGGCATGGGCTTCTGCTCAAGGCTATTGTGAGTATGGCTTTCTATTTACTTAACATTACTTTCAGTTCATAGACATTTATTGAGTTTGGGTTTTTTTTTTTTTCCTTTTGAAAAATACTCACTGTATATGAAGTGAGTTTAAAATTTAAAAATTACTTCAAAGTTTTTATTCAAAGAGCTTATCTAAATGTGATTTAACCAGGAAGTGGAACACTGTAAGTTGTATTGTGATTTTTATGTGTCTGTAATCAATAAAGATAAGATACACAAAAAAGGTGACATTTTTGCTACACTGCACTTGGAATAGTCTACTCCTTCTAGTTTATGTGGGGATGGGAATTTACTTCAACTAATTTCCTACATGACTTCATGCAAGTTGCAATGCAATATTGGTAGGACAGCTCTTCTTGCAAATTTTGTTGCACTTTCCAATACCAAGTACTGAACAAATTAAAACAACTGCCTTAGAATTCTGTCATTTATCGATCTTACTTTTATTGATCTAGTTCCTGGGAAAGTATTTGTAAAGTTCTCAAGTGTTCTAATTTTACCAAAGTCACACAGCTGTGAAGAGAAAGGTACCAGAGAGGCTTTACAGCTGTGATCTAAAACTGAAGTAAAAAAGTTGGATTTTGGTTGGAATGTCAAAATTGCATGTTTTAAAATAATTCTAAAAGTATGTTAAAGCTTCACAATAGATTAAAATAAAACATATAACTTTCTATTTCAGTCAGTTCTTCTGAAAAAGAAACTTGAAGAACATCTGTAAGTATTTTTGTTTCCCTCTTTTTTTGCAGTTAGAAATTGTGTTCTTCTATATAGAGAGGATGGCAGACAGTCATTAGTGATAGATCTGGAAAATATGCAACTAAGAGAGATTAGATAATACAGGAATATTTGTGAATCTGCTGCTCAGATTCTATTTTTTCCCCATAGAAAACCATTGTGAAATTAAGAATGATGAGGGAACCGTCATCTTGTGTTGGGTAGAAAACTTTGCTTGACATTGTGCAAATTTTTGCTCAAGAGAGCTAAGTAATTTTTTTTCTGACAGAACCATGTTAATAAAAACAAAATTAGTTTGTTTACTCTTTGATATGCATTATGGCATAGCAGTAACACTTTAAGAAGTGCTGTCATTTTATTGTGCTATTTCTGCACATCTTTTATTTCCCTCAAAGAGTATTTGCTTTTTGACTGACTTGCAAAAAGAAGTTTCTGTTGCTTTTGGGTTTAGCCATTCTTCCTCAATGTTATATCAGTGATGAGTATTCATTTTAGGCTCTCATTGTACAATTAATAAGTTCTAAATTAAGTACAGTTATTGACAAAGAAACTGTTTGCTGTTGCAGTTATCCATACAGAACAATGTTTTTCATCTTAACTAACAAGTATTTCTACAGTGATATTGTCACTTGTCCTCATGCTCCGTAGGAAAAAAAATCAATCATGTCCATAGAAATAATCTGTCTCTGAGGATTTTCTGTTCTGTTAGTGCTCATTTCAAGCACAGTAATACTACTGGGGAAACAATATGTGCTTTTGTGGTTTGTAACAGAGAGAAGCTCCATGAAGCTAACAATGAGCTACAGAAGAAACGAGCTATTATTGAAGATTTAGAACCAAGATGCAACAACAGTTGTGAGTTACCTGTGCAGTCTATTTCTTTTCTTTGTAAATTATTTCAGGTGCAACATCTTTAATTGTAATACCTAAAGGAGGTGTCAGGTAAGCAAAATGTAAGTTTTGAATGGAAGTGACATCTATGTTGTTAATTTCTCTGGAAGCTAGGGTGACCAGAAACATGCTTTTAACAGTTGAAATGCATGGGAATCACATTTTAGAAACACTATAGTAAGAAATCATAGAATCATAGAATGCTAAGAGGTTAGAATGAACCTTAAAGATCATCTAGTCCCAAACCCCAGTGATGTTTGCTATTAGAAGTACCAACTCACTGCCGTTGAATCTCAGCTGTCCAGAATTGTCATGTCTCATAAGAGAGAAGAATTCAGAAGATCCTTGCTGTTGTCACTGACTCATTTTTACTTCCAATGTATATTCCTCCAATCTGTTTTCAATAATGTGTTGTAATTTGAGCAAATGTTCCGTTAGTGGTCAATGAAGAATGTAAGATATGTATTGTATTGCTCAGAGGGTATGCAGAACCCAGTATGTAGTTGGTTTTTAGCACATTATTGATATGTTTTTTCCAGAGCAGTAATGAGGGAGGGTGTCTGGATTTTTCAAAAGACTCGTTATTCTAGAATAAGGCAAAAGATTGTAACCAATGGCAGCTTTTCTGGTTTGTGGTAAAATTATTTTATTCACAGTGAGATGGAGCAAAAAGTAGGAAAAATATCATGTTGTTTTCTGAGATCTGAGAAGTTGTATAGAAGAACTAGAAGTAGTAGTGGCTTGACATATTCTTATACCAACACAGGAAAAATATGTGGAATTAAATTGTCCTACTGGTCTCAATTGCTGCTTAAGAAAATGTGAGGGGGAAATTAAATTTAGTATATTCACGTTACAGTTTAGTAGATTTAAGCAGGAGTTTTTCCTCTTAGGAATTATTCCATGTCCATAAAATAACAAAAAATCATATTTGCCTGTAATACAGGCTAAGATATTATAGTAGCTGTAAGTCATTAGCAAACCCATTTTCTAAATGTATTCAGTGACACGATTGCTTTGTTTCCATTTCTCTTTATTTGTCAGAATTTTAGAAAGCAAAATTGTATCCCAGAAAATCCATTTTATGAGATTTTATAGGAGTACATATTTTTAGTGTGTTTCTGAGCTATACAGTAATTAAATCGGTGATACCTGACACATCAGATTTCTTGTCAGCTTTTTTTAACTGAAGTATGTTTTAGCTGTGTCTTAAGTGTCTGTTGTAAAATATATAAAATATGCATAATGTACTGATGTTGTTTTCCAATGTGTGCATCTCCTGACATAAAGCACTTAAAATTGAGGAATTACAAGAAGCTCTACGGAAAAAGGAGGAGGAAATGAAACAAATGGAAGAAAGATACAAAAAGTATTTGGAAAAGGCCAAAAGTGTAAGTAGATATGTTCCACACCTGTCTGACAGAGACAGTATTATATGTGACACTATGTGGGAGTAAAAACGAGGGAGGTATCTGTATACACACTAATAAGTTAAAGAGGAGGAAGCTCCATTGATTATCATGTTATTGTTTCAATTAATTAATTCTGCAAAAGATTACCCCATCTTTTATTGATGCTTTTTTGCAGTAAAGTCATATTTTTACTGAATCACCTTCAGTAATTGTTAGATTTCTCTGATGATGTTCAGCATTCTGCATTCTCTTTTGCCTTTACTGCTTATAATATATGCTTCTGTCAAGAAGATGACTGATATTTAAGTATTGGTGATATGGGTATACTACTAGCTTTGAAATGGTAATATTGTGGTCTTGATCATAGTCCCATTTCTTCTCTTACTATACTTTGTTATTTAGAGTATCTTAAAAGCATATCAGTGTCTTTAAATGCATATCATTACATTGGAATCTGTAAGTAGGTTCCTGATTTGACAAAACTTCATGCTTTCTTCCTTTACTTCTTTGGAGTTTCCTGAGTGACTTCTTGTGAAATGTCTCAGGAAGTCTGAAAAAATTTCTCCTATGTCCCCCTGCTCTCACGTTTTATATTGGTTGTTGTGTGTTAGTGTACGTTCCACTGAAAGACAGCATTTCCCTTCAGTAAGATTTGTATATTTGTATGTACTGTGTTTCTGAAGGGTGTTTTATAGGACAGTAGCATTAATTACTTAAGTTTTTGTAATCTTCTAATCAGCTTTCATCTTATTTGTGTGTGGTTTGCGGCTGGGTTTTTTTGTTTCTTTTTGTTGTAATTGATGGGTTTTGGTGCAGAGTTTTTTTTTTTTTTTTTTTGTAGAATCATTATAGTCTTCCGCTGTGGAAGATGTATCCATCTAATGGATGGGTCTAATGTTTTCTTAGAAAAATAGCACGCTTTTATAGAACAGAATGACAGAGTCATTTAGGTTGGAAAAGATCTCCAAGATCATCCAGTCAGCTTTTGACTGATGATAACTTGTGTTAACTAGACCATGGCACTTGGTGCCACATTCAATTCCTTGAACGCCTCCAGGGATATGTACACTACCTCCCTAGGCAGCCCATTCCTATGTTTAACAGTTTAACCTAAACCTTCCCTGGCACAGCTTGTGGCCATGTTATCTCATCCTGTCACTGGTTGCTTGGGAGAAGAGGCCACAACTCCCACCTGGCTACAACCTCCTTTTGAGGGCTCCCAGAGTTATCTTTTCTCAAGGCTAAGCACCCCCAGCTCCCTCAGCCACTCCTCGTAGGATTTATATGTTTACCATAGAGTAAAAATATCTCACTTAAATTTAAAGCATTGTTTTATTTTGGCATCTGGACACAACTCTGAAATAAGTAGAAAGATAAAAGAAGTCTGTATAGCCAGAGGTTGTTAAAGAGTTTCAAGCCATTTTATATTAAAGGCTTAATAATTCAGGCAATTTGCTAGATTTGTTCTTGGTTTGGCTCTGTTTGCTAGCACTCTTGGATGACACATGCAACTGTACCAGTGTCCCTTCATCTTTTTAGTAGCCTAACAATTATGCATGTACGACAGAGTGCTTGGCTTAACAGAGCTACCTAGAAATTACAGCACCAGGTCGGTGAAGCATGGCACATATCCATAAGGACAGAAGCAGTCCTTCCTCAAACAGGAGAAATTGACAGGCAGGAAAATAATAGCTATGAAAAGAGAAACCTTATAGAAGTTGTTTCTCTAACTGTGGCCCCAAGGAAATGTAGCCTGGGTTAGGAACTGCAAATGTGAGTCTGGGATACTGAACCTTTTAGATATCACTTTTTCTTGTCAGTAGTTTTGTTTCCCAGTCCTGTAAAAGAGGGCCCTATTCAGATGCTCTAATATGTCACCAGTTGATGAGAGAGGTAGACATATTTTAAGTTTTTTTTTTTTATTTTTTAACCTGACTTAAAAGGTTTTAATTCCTCAACAAGATTGCTTTTACAGGATTTAACAAAAATCAAACTGGTTTTCTCTAACAGGTCATCCGCACATTAGATCCTAAACAGAACCAGGGTGCTGCTCCTGAGATTCAGGCACTGAAAAATCAGTTGCAGGAGCGGGACAGAATGCTTCATTCCCTGGAGGTAGTAATCATTGTGTTTTGTGGTAAAAATTCATTGTTTTTTAGTTAGAAACTAATACTGCTATTATACTTTGGCTTTAAATATATGGATTTTTTTTGTGTGCTTGTTTTATAGAAAGAATATGAGAAAACAAAAAGTCAAAGAGAAATGGAGGAGAAATTTATCGTTAGTGCCTGGTACAACATGGTAAGAATCTCACAAACCTTTTAATTGAAAATTAAAAAAAAATGAAAGAAGCTACTAATACTGTTTGTTTCTGGCATGTAACAGTATTCTTGTTTGAAAAGCATTTTCCAACACACAAAGAAAGAAGCAGTTTTTAGTAATCTTAAGTTATCTCTATGTACAAGTCTGTACCTATAATAACCTTCTGGAAAAAAAAAAAGGTTTGTAATTTTCAAGTTTTAATTGACTTCATGCAAGTTGTTTTGTAATCCCAGTCCTTCACTTATAAAAAATACAGTCCTCAAATATATTTTGATTCACCACTTTCCAGTCTTCCAGTTGTTTCTAATGAAGGGGCACAATCAAAGCAATTCATCGTACTTGCAATTCAGTTGGGGTGCTCTGACAAATGACCCCTTTAACTTGGGTGCACATTTAGCTCCATACAAAGAGTGAGGACATCAGCAAGACCCTCACTTAAATTATTCAAAGAAAAGTTTGGATAGAAGGTAGGGTCTGTGCCACCATACCGCTGTTGCTGGGCCTGTGTGCCAGAAAAGTTGTCACCCACATCAGGTGTGTTCAAGTCTTCCCTTTGGCAGACTGGTTGGTTGCATTGAAACTGCTCTTCGTCTGTAACTTGGCATCTGCTCTAGACATCTGTAACTTTAATGTTTCATTCTGCGCAGTCATAGAATTCAAATTCCTTCTTTCTGTATTCCTTTGGAAGAGTTTTCTTCTTGATGTTCTACATCCTTCTTGTCTTCATGAATACCAAATCTAAACTCAGAGTGTCTGAATTGTTTACATATTGAAGGTATTTTCAAATGACCACTGTCCTTGGCCAATTTTATAACATTAGTCCTCCTAATAAGTAGAAGACAAGCCTGAGGTAAGACTCACAGTTCAGTGACCTATCATGAGTACTAAGATGGTCACTGCTAGCTTTGTCTGTATCATTCTTTAATTAGCCTCTGCTTTTATGCACAGCTGCACAACGCACCACAGCTTTTTTACTTTCCTCATTCATTATTGCCTGATGAGAGCATGCTGTCTCCCAAGATGTGCTTCTGACACAGGAGTTGGTGTTTCCACAGATTATGACAATACCTAAACTTTTTTCAGAAGAAAAGTACTTTTCTAGGTCAACATGCTGAAAGGAGCCAGGAATTGGGGGAAGTCCTTTTGAGAAGAATTGTCCAATTGCCAGGAGAAGCATATATATATTGAGTTCTTAGGAGGTTACTCTAAACCTGGAGAATGACAGTAGGGAAGGGGAAGAGTTCCACACAAAGTATTAGGAAGAATATCTTACATTTATCCTTGAAAATAAGATGCTTTGTGCATGGAATTCAAAAATAGTTTAGTCAGTGTGAAGACAAGTAGTGAACAAAATATAAATTAATAACGATGTTTTGTATTGGTATTCACTGAGAAATTGTCTTTGTCCATAGGGGATGACTCTGCATAAAAAAGCAGCAGAAGACAGACTGGCTAGTACAGGCTCAGGACAGTCCTTCCTGGCTAGACAAAGGCAAGCCACGAGCACAAGGAGATCTTACCCTGGTCATGTCCAGCCAGCAACAGCAAGGTAGAGGAGCCTTGCCCTTAGAAAGAAAACTGCCCTGTGATCCAGGCCACTTCTATTGAAAGTGACAACATTCAAGGAAAATAAACCAGCATCCTTTCTCTTTCTCCCTTGTTACTGCTATTATTTTACCATTCAGGAAAGGGTTATATTATGCTTTCTCATACCTCTGTTATGCCCCTTGCTTATATTTTTTGGAGTTCATTTCTCTCTGCGTTTTCTGAATGTGCCAAAATTTTGAAAACATCTAGAGGAGTGCTGTATAATAACAGTCTTACTTGTATGAAGCCTGGTCTCTTACAAAAAACCTCATGTGGACCATATGACAATGTAGATTTCACAGTTGGTACTTCCGTGCCTGTAAGGTTGTTATGCTTTATAAGACTGTTTTTGTTCAAAGGGAGTTTGCTTTTTATTTCATCTCCTATCCTGTTGCTTCAGAAAAATGCTGAAATCTCATTATGGAAATGCAAAACTGGATTATAATATTATTGTGAAATATATTTCGTACTAAAAACTCACCAATGCAAAAAAGAAACATTGGGAGTTTTCTAATCTCCTGAGTTCAAAGTGTGCTCTTATTCTTGGCATTTAGGGAAGCAGGATGATCTTTTTCCAGGTTTTTCTTTATCAACTGGTGTTACCTCTTTTGCTGGTAGAGATAATATTTTTGAATGGTTTATTCCACTCTTCTTTGTCAAGTGTATGCTTAAATACATATTCTAAAAAGGTGGAGAAGTATTTAGGATGTGCTACTCTGCTACTCTATCATCCATTTAAAAAGGACATTTGTTTTAAAATTTTATGATTATGGATGAACAATACGTAATGGATCAAGGCCCTAATGAATATTGTTAATGTACTCCAGTTGTCATCCCCTACTAAAAGACTTGCTTTTAATATATTGATTCAGGGTATAATTGTATCAGTTGCCTTACTAATGGTACCAGTGCCTTCAGGTGAGTTTATTGCTGACTTTGTTGGAAACTGGCTGTGATTTGTTGTGCTGCCTTTTTAGTGCATAGCTGATTAATTGGTGTAACACCTTCATGTGTTACATGTTGATCAATGAATGGAGGCTCCTCCTATTTAGGTTCTGTTCCTACAAAGTTGTGCTTTTTTTCCTGACCAATTCTATGCATTCCCTATAATTTTTTTTTGTCAAAAAATTGATGGACACAGAAAACCTGAGTATTGGCTGGAAGTTGTGATTCAGTTTTAAATTTAGAGACTGATTTTAAATTTAGGTTTATATTTAGAGACTGTTTGAACTCTAATGCATGAGCAGTCAGTTTATAAATTTATTCTTTCACCTGATTTTGATGCCCTTCTAAGTGGAGACATTTCTTTTTTGCATATATCTCTTTAGAGAAAAGATACTAGCATTTATCAATCATCTGAATGTCTGTTTTAATTCAAAACTTGGTTAGAATGAGCAATGGATAATTAAAACAAGCACACCTAGATTAAAATGTAATAAACAGGTGAATGACATTTTTAGGGACCTTTGTTTTATCCTCAACTGCATCATCTGTTTTAATCTGGGCTAAGAAATTCATTCAGTATGTGTCTGAAAAGTATTTTCAGTTCCAGTTACGCCCCCACACACACCCCCATGCACCCCACCCAGAAAACAGATGCTGAATTCTACATATAGTTTTGTATTTTATTCCTTACATTTGGGAAAAAATGGTTTTCTAAAATTTTTCTGTACTTCTGCTGTATATAACTGGTATGGGCTTGCAAAAACGAGATGAAACATGGCGAGTTTCTTGTGTGCAGAAAGGTAACAATGCAAAGGAAGTTGCAGATAATTTCTGTACCTCAGTGAGGTGATATGCTCAGTCTACTGTCTCTTACTGAGATACAAAATGCTTTCTGTACTCATCCAGATGATTACAGCTGATGTGTGATAGCTTTTACTCATTTTGTTGTGCAATCGATTTAATAATTTGAAGAACTCTTTACTACATGCTGTATGTGAACAGGAGCAAGACCACTCCTCTAAGGGAATTTGATGTTCCTATTTGAGGTTACAGCATTTTAGATCACCCAGAGCAAGAAACTAAGACTACCTAAAGCTCTGTTTTAATTTTAATCAAGCTAATTTTTCTGTTACAAAACTGCCAAGGGCTATTTGTGAAAGAAAGGGATGGAACCTTAATGGGAAGTTTTATCTCTCAATTTTGTCTAATAATCTAATTACTTATTGCTGTTAGTTAGGTGCAGATCTAAAAGAACTCGAACACAATCAGCACACTAGGATGAAAGGAATTGATTTTTAATTATGTTAATATTTGTTTCACTGTTTTGCCTCCAAAGTTTTGATGACAGGCTAATGCCACTGAGAGTTAGGAGATGAACAGATGCTGGTTAGAAGCCTTAGGTTTTTACTTTCCAGTTTCTCGTAGCTTCTTTTTCTTCTTGGTGGTTGTTGGCTTTTCTTCTCTTTGTGATTCTGTCTTTCCTTTTCCCTTGAAGATAAGACACTGACGTGTTTTCTGTAGTTCTCTTCAAAAATAAATAGCATCATTATATACCATCAAAGAGCAACACAAAACTCTTATTGCATCTGAGCTTTATTGTTGCTCGTAGTAACTGTTAGGCAAGTGAACAATCATTTTGTCTTTGAGTATTTACAAACGTGCAGAAATTCTGGTATTTCCCAGAATTTGTGCTGAATATAAAAACCTAAAAATGTACTGCAGTCTTACAGAAATATACTCAGTTGCTGTCTGGTTCTAGTAAGTCATTTGTTATGTCTTCTATTAGTATTTAAGAGGAGTTCAGTCATTTTTTCTTCAGTGCTTTGCTTCTTTAATTTGCTGTATACATCCATTCTTAGTCTTTGTGTGTGGATGAATGCAAGTGGTGAACATCATTAAACCTTCTCTTTTGCAAGAACAGCTTCTTTATTCAAAGGGTTCAGCTTCATTATTTTGCTTGCTTGTTATGTATCTTTGTAATCAGAGTGTATTAAGAAAAAGGAGCTCAGACTGTGACTCCAGGGAATAAACACATATATAGGGGAGCTACCATATGTTCCTTATTTCTCTTACCTTGAGTAATTACAGAATATAAGCAAAAGCCCCAGCCCATGGATCAGAATTTTCTCAGTACATTAGATAGTTCTGAGAAATTTTTAGGAATACTTTTTTTCCCTTCAGGCAAGAAACACTATTTACATCAAAATTGTAGTGGTAATTACTAAGCCAATGCTCTATCCTGTCCTGACACACCATAGAAAAAGGACCCACAACTCAGTTTAAAGAGAAAAGGTTTTTCAGATCAGAGGTAAAACAACTGAGGAGTTAATGAGAGTACTTTTCTGTGCAGTGTGCTGAGGAACTGCCCAGAATAATCTTTCTGACAGATTTTAATGAATGAAAATAAATTATAGCAGATAAATGAGGTTTTTTTTAGGATAAATATTTTCATTGTTTAGAGCTGAAGCTTAGTTTCTGACCTAAAAGTAGGATGGGTTCAGATGTGTAGTCCAGTTAATGTACTTCTGTGGAGAGTTGAGTTTTTAGCATATCCAATCAGACATTACAGAAAGAAAAATTCAGGTTCCGTCTTTTCTTGATAGCAACACATAACCACTTGGAACATAACATGTATTTTCTAAGTGCTGTGAAAACTGAAGTAATTTAATTTAAAGGTTGTATATTCCATCCGCAGTGCAAAGATGTCTCAGTCTCCCCTTGGAGAGAAACTCCCCGAGAAAAAAGCAGTGTAGCCCAGTGCTATGCTCCTCTCCCGACTTCAGCCACTTTCTTTTGTCTTTCTTAAGTAACCATAAGTATTCATAAGTACCCAATAGTTAGTTTCCTAGCAACTTAGTGGGAAAAACATTCTATATGTAAAAGAAAAAAAAAACCCCAATCCCCAACAAAAGGTAAACACGCAATATACAACTTTGCATATTTACAATGAAATAAATATATAATGGCTACAAGATGCCTTTCATTTTGTTTGGAAATAATCAAATGGCGATCTTGTCCTGTTCAGGTGTCAGTCGTGTTAGCAGTAATACTTCTGCAAGTTTTTTGTGGCTCTCTGTTCTGTAAAGAGCACTGGCATTTTTATATGTATGAAAGAATTAACAGTGAATATTCCTATTACTGCTTTATTATGATCTCAAATAGTGAGTGGTATGTGTAAGCTGTCAAGAAAATTTAAGTTTTTTTGCAATTTTAAAGTCCTTGGTATTTTAACTTGTGCAAATAGCTTTTGCTTTTCCTGTGTCCTCTAGTATATGAGACTATACACTTAACAGCTTCCTGAATGACTTTGAGTGGGTTTAATTTTCCTGATATGTTGACATTTTCTGTGATTTGGTAGTTGTAAGATATTTTAATGTCACCACTTGATTTTCTTCTTGTTAGTGATTTGGGCAGAGACTAGCCTGAATGTGGCTAACTTTCCTTTTTCTTATGAAGCAAAACAGTATTTCAACTTACTGTATAGAGATTTTTTTTATTCTTGCCCAACATATTGACATTTTGTAAGGAATGATGAGGGAGGTATTTTTGCACTCAGTCAGCTATGCAGTACTGACTTCTTATGGGGTTTTGCACATGTGTTTTAGGAAGAATGTGGAGTCTATGTTTTCCAGTAAGATTGTACTGATAAACCAGTATCTCCTAACCAAATTTAGCAGGCATTTTCCTCACCTGGCATTGCATAAATAAATAGCTAAACTAAAAGGATCTATCAGGGTATACTTCCAAGTGGTGGGGGTTTTTGGAGCAAATCCTAGGATCCTAGCCATGCCTCCAGTTTGTCACTCTTAAGGAATCAAGAACATTTCCTGGCATGGCTGGTTGGATTGCCTTACTCCTTCCCTCTGGAAGTCTAGAAAAGTAGCAGAAGTTTGTCAGTGGTCCTGCAGACTATGACTAACAGCAAGGTATGATTTCTTTGGTCTGAAAGTGGAGGAGGCAGGTGCAAGCATCTAGTCAGTACAAAAATCAGAAGAGCATTCTTTCAGCGTTTTGCATTTTGGTTTTCATTTCAAAACAAAACAAATGAAGAACCTGAGCTTATTGAACTAGAAAGATTTTTATCTTCTAAATTAAATTTTAATTTTAATTGAGTAACTATTAGAGGTTTTACCCATATATAAGGCAGAAGCTGTCATTATCAGCCACCACAACCTCAGACTTCTTGCATCTGGTACAGTGAAACCTTGTAAAGATTGTCTCTGCTACCAGCTCCATTGAACCATTGGAGACACTGAGGACTAACTAGTTTCATCCTCCATTTTTCTTTGGTGGTTTTTTGTTTTTTTTTTTTTTTTTTTTTTTGTTTTTTTTTTTTGGTTTTTTGGTAGATATTGGGATATAATTCAATGCATCAGCGCATTGAATTAGGCAGTGAATGAGTGTTGATTGGAGGGCTCTAGGAAACTTGACAATTCATACTGTCCCATGGGGCATTAAGACAGCACCTGACAGTGTAGCCAAGACAGCTTCCCAGACTGATTGTCCTGGTGTCAGATGGTAGTCGATCAGTTGGAACTTGTGCTGACTGGTGTAATTGAAGTCCTTATCTGCTGGAGGATGGTGTTGCTGTCAGCTTCACTGTGATCCAGATTCTGTCTTCACCTTTGGGCCTTGCCAAGGTAGTGCAGGACTACCCTGAAGCATATTTCTGCATTAGTTGGCTCTGGTGGCACATCAGGAGTTTGCTCTGCTGCTATTTGCTGTGCATGTAAAGTCGTTTGGAAAATTGCTTCTCCTTCAGTGCCCTTTGCATATGGTGTCATTTCCAAACTGAAAACAGATTCCGTTTGTCAGATAAAAATTTCTTGCAGCTGTCTTGCTGCAGTGGGTCCCAGAGACTGATCCACACAACATGAAAAATACTGCTAGTAGAGGGAATTACAGGTCAGTTGGGCAGCCTTTCCTTTCTGGTGCTGACTTTATTCATTGCTTTGCATTCGAGCGGTCCTTTGCAATCAGATGAGGTGATTTCAGAAAGAGGAGCAGTGTTTGTTTTAATTGTTAAAAAAGCAGACATCTGTCAGCACTGTGAAGAGCTGCTAAATACTGTAGCATGGCACAAATCAAACACTACAAAAGCAAGTATTTCGACTTGGTGTACATTACAGCATAGAGGTATAGATTAGTTTGTTCTGGAGATGGAAATTGAATCCCTAATGATTCTGCGTAACTTGAAAAGAGCTAACATAAAGTCCAGTTGTTACTGTTAGCATGCTCATGTTGTTAACCTGATCATGAAAGTGGATGGAATTTTAAGAGAAAATCCCCAGTGGTGTAGTATTTATGGAATTATAAATTTGTTGTAATGAGACCATCAGACTTTTGATTTGGATTTGAATGTAACATCAGCTATATAATTTCAAATATTGTAAAGCAGAGGTTATTGTTCACAGCCACAAAAGGTTAGTAAGCTGGAGAGTAAACTTATTTCCTGGAGGCATCAGTGGTTTTGAAAGTAATTTTAAAGCTTTTGTTTAGCAGTGTTAGTATAAGCATTACCTTATTAGGCCACAATTATTTAAATTTGTAATCTGCTTTGTATTCTCTTTGTCGCTCTCTAAGGTACTGCAGATGCAGTGACAGGTTATGCTCAGTGAATTTACCCTCACATTTTGCATTTCTGCTTTCTTCTGTGTGTTGCTACCTCAACAGGTGGCTTTAAAATAGAGAAATTGGCAGATAACTATTTTTAGAACATGCTAAGAATTTCTAGTCAGGAAAGGGTGCTAACAGATTAAATTTTACATCCTTGAAAGTTAATGCAGTGTCCTGAGTTTACAAGACCTCTCAAAAGTACTATTGACTCAAAGAGAAGCCTGAAGTGTCACTTCTGTGTATGTGCAACATACACTTCAAGGACACTTGAAGTGCTATTAAACAGTAAGTTTGAGCTAAATAATAGCCAGATGAGACTAAAGGAGTAGATTATATTCATTTATACACAATAGAATAGGTACATGCTTATGTAACTTGAACATTTTATTTTTTTATAGAACTACAGCGATCTTCATGTTAATCCTGAATTGTGTAACTATATGCACCAAGCAGTGCCAAGCAAGCTTAAAAGACAATGATTGCTCAAAATACACACCCTCAAGGTCTTTGAATGTATTGAATGTGTTAAATTTTTTTATTCCATTTGATAGGTGTCTCTGTGTTTCTATTGTTTTTCTATTATGGTTAGTATTCTGAGTGGATGAATGAGAAGGAAAGAAAGAGGGATACACAAGCTACAGGACTTGTAGCATAAATGCTCTTTTTTTATCTATTTAACCTGGATTATCCCATCACAAGAAGCATTCTTAGAATCATTTTTGACCAGTGCAATACAAGGGAGAAGGAAGTGGGGAAACAGGCTCTACTTTCAGTCCCGTGAAGCCAATTTGCTCTTTGCAATATGAAAACAAAAATGCCCATTTAGTGCTGTGCCAGTGCTGTGTAGGGAGATCTGTGTTACCTGGGCAAAGTAGCTGTGTCAGTAAAGCATTCCATTTCAGTTACACTGGAATGTACACAGAAAAAAGGGTGCATCAGTGAGGATGGAGAACTGTGCCAACCTCTCAGATTCTCTTCCCTTCCGCAGCGCTGTGAAGTGCTCTCCTGACTGCTCAGTTATTCTGACTCAGCTTACTTTAACAAGAACATGTATCATTTTCTGGAAATTCAAAGCTGTATCTGCATGCAAGGGATAGAATGTGCCAGTGCAGTGGCGCAGTGATGCTGAGCCTCTTGCACAGGATGAGCTCTGATGAAATTTAAATGCCTTCAGTGGTGCTCAGAGCTCAAGACAGCTGACGTGACTCTGATTGTCTTTTAGCCTGTAAACACGTGCAGAATTGGGTGGGCACCCTTCATTTTATCTTGCTTTAACAGTTGTACTCACAGACAGCAGGAATGCCTGAGACTTGTTCATTGCTGTGTAAACTTACTTTCTGTAGCTTTATTAGTTGAGAATGGTGCCCTGAAGAATTTTACTCAAAAGTGTGTGAATTTAATTACAGCTAAACTTAGATATTGACCAAGGCTATTTTGTTGCTTTTCCAATTATTGGCCGGTAACCTTCCTGTTAATTTGAACAGTTGCTTGGCAAAGGTATTTTCCCCATGAATTTGCACAACTCTTAAGTAGAGGTGGCCTTACTAAACTGCTTTTAAAAAGACCTGTTCTGTTCTCTGGTTTTTTGGTTTTTGGGGTGGGTTTTTTTTTGTTGTTTTTTTTTTGGTTTTTTGGTTTTTTGTTTTGTTTTGTTTTTGTTTGGTTGGTTGGTTTTCTTTGTTTGTTTTTTGGGTTTTTTTTTTCCAACGGTAATATGTTATCTGCTTTTTAACTTTCTTCTTTATTCTTTTATTTGCAGTGATGTGGTTGCATGACCTGCAGCATTATTATAACAGGGACTGTTCAGTGCATGACTTGCTTTTCTGTCCAGACTGCATAACCAAAACTTAACCAGTTCTACACTTAAGACTCATGGCCATCTGATTTCAAAGGGGGATCTACTTGCAGAGAAGCTTACCATCCTGGGGAGTGGCTTTCCCATTTCCCACTTCCACTTACTCTTTCTCTGCACAAAAAGTCTCCTATGAGGCTAGAAGAGGGGAAATCCTGTATTCACAACTCAACAGGAGGTGTTCTGCAAACTGACAGAGCAGTGACAGAGAGCTCTCCATCTTACTTCCGCCTGTCCACTTTATTTAATTCTGATTAACAGTATTAACACACAGACTTCCTGCAACATTTTCATATACCGAACTATACAAATCTAGTCTTAACGAGTTCCTAAAAAAGGCCTTTTGGTTACTGTTAAAATTTCAAAGCACCCGCACCCTTAAAGGATCCAATTTGAATCTTTAAACACATAAAGTAAAGCGAAGGAGATGTTTTACCAGGAGAAATTACTAATGAATTGCTGCTTGGCGATCCCATCTTCCTTAGAAAACCAAGCAAGTTTCATCTGATAATCTCCGAGCCAGGCAAACTACCGGGTGGTATTTTGTTCCCAGGCACTGCCTGCTTCCTTATTATGTATATACACAGTAGTTTGTGGCTGTTGTATTTTTCTCTCTACATTTGAGCTGTGTTGTTGGTTTCTTTCGGAAACTTTTTTTTCCAATCTGTATACAGTTGTTAAAACAATCTGAGGAAAGACCATGAATGGAGATAAGTATGAAAGTCATCTACACTTTCAGTATTATGCATAGTGTCCTTACCAGTTTATAATTTGAATCGTTTCTCTTTCACCTGTACTGGTTTTTTCCCTTTCTTTTTTTCTTTCTCTTGCCACAGTCCTAGCTATTTAATTTCCAATTGCACTAGCTTGGCTGTTTCTTTGTATTTTGAAGTTTAGATATAAGATTTGCCATATGTAGACAGTGTAATTCAAAATGCTTTGTACTGCCTATATTAATTTAAAAAGCTGCTTATTTAATATTCCTAAATATCTGCACATTTGTACTACTGTATCTTTGTTTTGTATTGGACATCCAGTACTGGCAAGATTCAGAAGACAAGGGAGTGCTGTAGTGTTGTAAGTTAAGAGGTTTTTTGTATAGGAGTTAGTACATAACAAACAGGGAAAGGGGCTTTCAAGCCATAGGATTTGCTGGAAAAACTGAAAAGTCTGAATGCTGAGTACCGTAAGCAGTTTGATTTAAATCCAGTTAAAGAGAAACCCCATTCTTGCTCACTTGGATCTTAATTGGCAGAAATACTGATATGAACTGTGCTGCCTCCAGGAATAGTTTTACTTATTTGGGCAGTAGAAGAACCTCCAGCCCTGTTTGCCGTGGGAGCACCCCCATGCTGAAGAAGCGTTGTGTCCACTCGTCTCTGCAGTTCACACACACAGTGCCTGCCTTGTCCCTGGCCCGTCAGGTGGGCTTGGACAGAGCCACACCTCAGGCGCAGAGACGCCCGCTTGTGTCCAGTCCTCAGGGATCCTGATCCCACAGTGTCCATGGCCTTGTGCGGAATGACGCGGAGAAAGGACAGACGTGTCCCCCACCAGAGTGTGGTGGTCTGTGCTGCTTGGCAAAGAGATGGCAGGTAGGAATGGACTCCAAGTAGGCCAAGCAGCAAAGTGAAGGATAAAACTAGGATCCCAGTGAGAATTGTGGTGTTTTTTCTTCTGGATACTGTATCAGGTACTGTGGCTACCAGGTGCTCTGGCTGACAGCTGTCCGTAAAGGCTTCAGATGGGGATATATGTCTTTCCTGGTCCACCAGGACCAGGGACAGTGAAGTCTTACGTGGCCTGCAGCCAGGGTCTGGGGTTTGGTGATAATGAGTCAAGTACTCATGCAGCAGAGGCAGCAGCAT